TAAATATAGTAATAATAATTATTACTGCTACTGAGGTTGAGACTCAAGCCAGTATAATGGTCTTTTAAAAAAAAACAACTAACCAAAGGAAATCGATGCGTTGACAAAAATCTAGACATTGATGGCGGGGGGAGAGAAGATCTAGTCGTGGTAGCATGAATGGAGAGAGAGGCTATGGAGGTTAAATATCGCGAAACGGACTCTAACCCCGGGTGGGGAGGAGATTCTGGTTCTTATCTTCACTGGGCCTTAAAGCTTAGTGAGTTTTTTTGGCTTGTCACAGCCTCTCTGCCTCATTTACCTCATGTATGTCTTGCAAGAAATAAGTGAGCCAAAGAGAAGATCCATATGTTCTCGAGAGCTCTGTGGAAGATGGATGGGCCAACATTGAAATAAATAGATATAATACATATTGTATCAGAAATTATGGTTACTAGTAAGGCATCATGGACATCATTTTTTTAAGTATCCTGCTTTGTGCAAATGTTGTAATCACTGAAAAATACAAAATGTTAACTTTTAAGACTGTCAGCAGATAGAGAACAACTTTCCCACGATGGGATAATGCAGATCTTATTCATATTTTGTCAGAAATAAGAGTAATTGATTTCAAAGGAAATTACTTCTATCAAATGAGTAAGAATTGCAGCCTGCCACAAAATATGTTCCTGAATAGGAGTATATTCTGTAGTTTAGTCTAAGATATAAAGCTATAAGTATAATATAAAAGGCTTCATTTGTAGTGTAGTGAGCACTTATTTTTAAAAAGCACAAATAATGAAGCTGTCTGTAGGGAGGAAAGATAAATTTGAAAAATAAATCAACTTTATAAGCATTTTCTGTTTCAAAACATCACTTACTCTTTGGTATCTATTTCTTAGATAACATGAAGGCTAGACTTTGGATTGCAGTCTGATAGCCCATTCTTCGGCATGTGTACTTGGACAAAATGCCTTATTTTCAGACAACTTGATTTAGGACTGCAGTGACATCCTATATATGTCTGTTCAAAAATAAGTTCCTTTGGTTTCAATGGAGCTTACTCCCAGTTAGGCCGCAGTTTTATACTCCCTTACCAGGAAGTAGCCCCAATGCAGTCAGTGGTCTATTTACATCCAGGTAGATATGCCAAAAATTATATATTATTGATAATCTGCAGTCATTAAAATGAAATAGTGGGCAAAGATATTGCATACAGCATTAGTGAAATATGGAATTATTGTTTATTTTGGAGGAAGAAGTCAGTGAGGGGATACATCCAAATATCAATTGTAGGGGCTGGGAATCTTTGACCTAATTATTTTGACCTACAAGTTTCATCAGCGCTACCTAGTATGGCCAGTCTAGAAGATCAAGCCCAGACCTGTAAACTCCATGATACATAACTCAGTTAAAGAAAGGCTTTAAAATATTAAAGCCCTCTTGGCATGAAATGTGATAATTTGAGATGTGATTATTACCACATATGATATTGTAAGATTAAATATACTGAAATAGTTGGAAACTCAGCACTTACTGTGTCTGAATAAATTTTTACTTGATACTTTGTTGGAATCTTAAATATATTCTGACACTAGTCTTAGCACAATTACTTGTAAAATACCATTTGGGTGGGTGGGTGTTGGAATATACGGGGTAGAAAGGTGATGTATAACTACTTTCCATAAGTAAATAAAAACAAATTTCTTTTTGTGTAAAATTAAGCTGGTGCAAGCTGATGATATATTCCGCTTGCATGAGCACAACATTAAGAGGATTTTGACCACAGAATCTTACTTCGAAGTGAACAAACATGGGATTGGGCAACACATACAGTACATTTAATAATAAACAAATGCAAACATATTCCTTTTTTTCTCTCTGAAGGAACAGGATAGAGTCCTCTTACTGGGGCAAAAAAAGTGTGCTATAATATGATCAGTTCATCACTGCTGTGGTCAGTGGGAAAAGGAGACAGAAGTGATACATACCCACATACACAGTTCTGTATGCTTCCCAACTTCCCTCAGACCTTGAAGAAAGTTAAAATCCACCAAGGATTAGAGAAAGAAAGTCAATCTGTTACTCATTTGCGCATGCTAAATTGCCTGTTAACTAATAACAAATGCAGAGGTTAAAGCAGGAGGGAAAGAAACAGGACACATTTTCTTGTTAGTACATAAGGTTACCTAAGCATGTGCTTTTTATATTCTGTATAAACTAATTAGTTATGATAATCATGTATCCAATGTTTTCTCCAGCAAATTCAGATGTATTGTAGCTAACAGTGACCTTGTGAGGTAGTTTTAGAAGAGATACCCATGTTAGTCTGTGCAAGCATGTCAGGCAAAAATAAAAGGGGAAAAAGTAGCACCTTAAAGACTAACTATTTTATTTTAATGTGAGCTTTCATGGATCAAATCCACTTCCTCAGATACAAGAGGGAGATTGTATAGCAAATTTTTATACTTTTATACATGGCATCAAAATATAGAGACAGTGATTGGTTGGTTAGTAAGTTGCAAATTGTGTAAATCAATGTGATATATTTCACAGCAAGTAATGACTTCTATTTGATATTCAGATATTTTCCATTGGAACTTTGTACTGTAAAAGGGTGTAGGAACACTTGACATATAATAATAACAGGTAAGGTAGGTTAGACTGATTTAATAATAAACAAATGCAAACATATTCCTTTTTTTCTCTCTGAAGGAACAGGATAGAGTCCTCTTACTGGGGCAAAAAAAGTGTGCTATAATATGATCAGTTCATCACTGCTGTGGTCAGTGGGAAAAGGAGACAGAAGTGATACATACCCACATACACAGTTCTGTATGCTTCACAACTTCCCTCAGACCTTGAAGAAAGTTAAAATCCACCAAGGATTAGAGAAAGAAAGTCAATCTGTTACTCATTTGCGCATGCTAAATTGCCTGTTAACTAATAACAAATGCAGAGGTTAAAAACTAAGCAAAATGGAAGGATAAAAGCAGGAGGGAAAGAAACAGGACACATTTTCTTGTTAGTACATAAGGTTACCTAAGCATGTGCTTTTTATATTCTGTATAAACTAATTAGTTATGATAATCATGTATCCAATGTTTTCTCCAGCAAATTCAGATGTATTGTAGCTAACCTTGTGAGTTGGTTTTAGAAAAGACAACCCATGTTAGTCTGCAAGCATGTCAGGCAAAAACAAAAGGGAAAAAAAGCACCTTAAAGACTAACCATTTTATTTTAATGTGAGCTTTCATGGATCAAATCCACTTCCTCAGATATAAGAGGGAGATTGTATAGCAAATTTTTATACTTTTATACATAGCATCAAAATATAGAGACAGTGATTGGTTGGTTAGTAAGTTGCAAATTGTGTAAATCAATGTGATATATTTCACAGCAAGTAATGACTTCTATTTGATATTCAGATATTTTCCATTGGAACTTTGTACTGTAAAAGGGTGTAGGAACACTTGACATATAATAATAACAGGTAAGGTAGGTTAGACTGGTTATGGGTGCCTGCCCAGGTCTCTTGAATTGTTAGCAAGATCTAGGGAGAGCTGCTATTGGTAGGACTCTCTGCAAGTCATTTTAACTTATAAGTTCACCATAATTCAGAACTGACTAGATAGCACATAACAAAATTAAACTGCCCAGTTGAATGGGTATTTAAAATAGGGATTTCTTATTATACCCTGTCGATCAGAAGGCACTTTTGCATTTTTGAACTGGATCTGTTGTTTTGGGTTGAAGGCTGGGAATGATATGATTGCATAAAACAGAATAAGTAGCAGGTAGCAATAGTAATATTGCATAAAGTCATTTGCTGTCTCTTGCTTAACTTTGCCTTGACCTCTTTTACACAACTGTCTTTTCTTTTGTGCATGTCTTTCAGAACAGCATGTCGGTTTTCCGTTCAGGCCTACTTGTTCTAACATCACCATTGTCAGCACTTTCCCTACGGTTGGTGCCTATTCTCACCTCTGCTGCCCGGCTAGTACAAGACACCCTCTATATTCACTTGCAGCCTGGCCTCAGCCTGACAGGCTCCACACAGCCCTGTTCCACGTATGTCCCAGCTACATCAGAGGTCTACACCCTTATCAGCAAGTTGTATGCTGATGCTGGCATCCATCACCACCTCGACGTCCGGGTACTGCTGACCAACATCCTCAACCAAGGATCCACCCCGCCAGTGCTTGGATCTGTGCAGAACCTCTCCCAGCCACCTGAAGTGGTACTCACTGACTTTGAAACTGGAGATGGTGGGCAATCTAACCCAGTCAAGCAGCGCCTGGAGCGCTACGCCACCAGCTGCTACAGCTGTCGCCCCAATCTCATCTCTGTTTTGTTGTATCCGGAGTATGAGCGAGGCATCAGTGATGGAGAACAGCTGCCACAGCAGGAGGCTGGTGTAACAGATGAACCATTGCAGAGCTACAGAGATGTTGTTGTAGGAGGCACTTTTGATAGACTCCACAATGGCCACAAGTTACTTCTGAGTGTGAGCTGCATGCTAGCAGAAAACCGGCTCCTGGTGGGCGTCTCTGACAAAGATCTCCTGGAAAGTGGGTCTCTTTGAGCCATGTATGCCCTTTCTCCAAGGTTCCACAAAACCATTTGGAGAAATTAGAGGCATTTAGGGGACCACTTAAAAACATTCCAGATTCCTCATGCAGAATGGTCTATTTCTGTGGCTGAAATTGGGGCTAAAAATGGGAGAGTGGGGTTATTGCCTAGACATCAGGTGTGGGTGTTTAGGAATTGAAAATATGTTGCAGCTTTTGTCATCATTTCCTAATGAGTACTTGCGTAAATCTGAACGTTTGAAAAAGCTTAGATTTTCTTGATGCTAATAAATGTTTAGGGATCAGTTCGCAATAGGATAGGGAAATACAGTATGAAAGATTTTTAGATACTATCCAAATGTTCCTGTGTTTCTGGGAGTTTTTTCACTCCTGGAATATTTGATGTGCTTCAGTTTGGGGTGGGTAATTTGAGTTTCTTCTTCCTCCCCCTATTAAGATTAGAGTATTTCTGTTTCATTTTTAGGATAGTGCGTGAACAATTTATGAAAACTAAATTGCTAGGCCCGGTTGTGTAGAAGCACTGGGCAAAAAAGACATGTTCTGAAGCCCTTCCATTTTTGTAGCAGAAACACTAGAAAGGTGTTGAAGTTTCAGTACTGTGGGTTTTTTGCTCCATTTATCAAGGGCTCACAAGTAGAATAAGCTCATAAATCCTACAGTCCTAATTACTTAGTCATATATGAGTTTGCTCTTGATATGCAGGATTTTGAAATTTGTGATAAAAGGAGCCTTTTTAGATCATGTTGCCTTTCTCCCACAACTGTTACCTCCTGTTGCAGGAAACGGACACTAAAGTGATAGATAGAAAGTTGTTTTGTACCAGGTGAGGCTCTATGTAAGAAGCAGAGAGTTAATAGGGTTGGAAGGGTCTTATTAGGCCCTCAGGTCCTACTCTCTGCTCAATGCAGGAATCTAAATCAAAGTATATCTGACAGATGATTGTTTAATTTTCTCATGAATGATTCCTTGAATTTAGTCATATCAGAGGATTGGTTGATTCCTTGAATTTAGTCATATCAGAGGAATTGAGTTATGTTATTTGGATTATTTTAGTTTTCAGGAGGACCTGTTGCTTAGTGGTGGAGTATATGCTTTGCATCAAGTAAAGGTTCCAGTCTGAATCCCCTCAGCATCTCTGTCTAGAGCAGGGCTTGGCAGCTTTGGCCTTCCAGATATTTTTAGCCTACAGTTCTTTGTATCTCTTGCCGCTGGGGAAAGATTATTGAAGTTGCAGTTTCAAAAACATGGGAGAGGGGGCATAGTTGCCCCTAGAGCAATATTGTCTTCTCTGACTGGCAATAGTCCTCTGGGATCTCAGTTGGAGAAAACTCCTTAGCTACCATCTGATCTTTCTTTAACTGAGGATGCTGTAGCTGATTCTGGGACATTTTATGTGCCAAATATATACTATGTTTCCCCGAAAATAAGACAGGGTCTTATGTTATTTTTTGCTCCCAAAAACACATTAGGGCTTATTTTCAAGGGATGTTTTATTTTTTTGCATGTACAACAATCTACATTTATTCAAATACAGCTGTGTCATCTTCTGGTTGCTAGCTGCACGAGGAGTCACTGGTGGAGGGCGGGGTTTCACTTAACTTGTGTCATCTTCTGGATGCTGGATGCACAATGAGTCACTGGTGGAGGGCAGGGTTTCACTTAACGGGCTTATTTTGGGGGTAGGGCTTATATCAGGAGCATCCTGAAAAATATACTAGGGCTTATTTTCAGGTTAGGTCTTATTTTTGGGGAAACAGTGTATTTTATCACTAAGTTGCCATCTGTTTTGTAAAAAAAGAGTCCACACCCTATTGCCAAGGTCCTCCCAATATATGTTACTCCTGCCAAATGTAGGTGTTCATGGGAACAGGCAAGGAGGGTGTTTCCCCTCCATCTTAAATTTGTTTATTATTATTATATGCACAGATGTATTGTCTTTGAATGATGCATGCTGTGCATGTGAATTTTAGTAACACCAATTTGTAGCTTAGCATCACTGTCTCTGAAGAAATTTCTGCAGTCACTCTTGCTACATAAATGTTTCTGCCCAAGATGTGAAACATTTATTTGCTCTGGGGGTAATGTGGGGTATCACTTTCAGCTCAAGGGCAACGTTCAATTTCAGAGATGTCATCTGGGCCCACATTCCAGTGGTGGGCGAGATACCAGCATATCTTGGTGCGAAGCTCCTACCTAGGTCTTAGGAGGAGCATCTCAGCTTTTGAAAATTGGGGTGGGGAGGAGACTGTACAAAGGCATGGAAATCACCAAATAATGGTATTGGGAGCCTGCATAGAGATCCTTTATATCACATCCTATGCATATCTGAATTCATTGGGAACTATTCCCTGGCAAGTGTGGAGCTGAAGATTCAGAATTGTTCATTACATAACATAGAGATGTTGGCATAACTCTTGAAAACTGCCTGGGCAGTAATTCCCACCTCTATTGTTAATGCTACACCTAAAGTTCTAAAAATACTTTATTATGCTTCTGATTGAATACCTATTATATAGGAACAAGAAACATCACATTCTGGCAGCTCATACCAGGTTGAAAATATGTCTGGTGTCATGTATCCTTATGATGTACAGTTTGCCCTTCTCTTCAGGATATTTGGTGTGATAAGCTGCCTTCTGCCTAACAAAGACTATCCTGGTTGCTGGCAGTCAATTAATCCATCTGGGGGCAGTATTTTGAAGAGCAAATAAGAATAGGAATAGCAGATATCTGTCTCTCTCTCTCTCACACACACACACACACACAAACATATACACACACAGAGAGAGAGAGGTTCTGTTCTCACAGATGCTGCTTCTTCCCCTCTTGGATAGCGTACTGCTGTCTCACTTCCTGTGCTAACTGCATGGAATGTTTGCTTCTCTGTGATGAGCAAATAGGATCCTGTACATGTATTATGATTGGTTCTGAGCACTTGTGATTGGGTAAACTGCATTTGGTAGCAGAGCAATTTGGATATGCCAATTCTCATGATGGGAGATCAGTTCTGGCAAATTCCATTAGCTTAGTTGCAAACTCTTCCAGGGGATTGTGTTTATCTGCCCTCAGTCCTATTCTTTTTTCTTTTAAAGGATGCTGCTTTCTCTTTATCCCATAAAACTGAGGAAAGGACAGCTTTCCAGTGCCATGCCTTTCCCATTTGATGCTCAGGCAAGGTGACTTTTCTTTGTGGTGAGCTCTTTGCATGTTCCTAACATATCCCCTTTTCTTTACCATCTAGACAAGTTGCTGAAGGAGCTTATCCTTCCCTATGAGCAACGCGTGGCTGAGCTTAGTGAGTTTCTGGTGGATATCAAGCCCTCCTTGCGGTATGAAATTGTCCCGCTCTTTGACTTCTTTGGCCCATCCATCACAGACTCTGACTTGAAGTGCATTGTAGTCAGCGAAGAGACCCTCAAGGGTGGCCTGGCAGTCAACAAGAAGAGAATGGAGAATGTGAGTATGCTGTGGGAGGCACCCCTTACTGGAGCATAGCCCTTCTTAACCAGAGCCTTTGATTTGGAAGGGTATTGGGTTGGGAGGAAAATGGGCTTTTGTGTCTGTGATACACTACTCCTCCATGTGTTTATCCCTTTTGTAAAACTCTTCTTAGGAGACATATCAGCATTCTGCAGCAGTAAATTCCACAAGCTATCTCTCATTCGCTTTTAAAAGACAATAATGCTATCATTCCCCAATAGCTGTGATATTAATGGGCACTGATCAACTCTGATTTATGGGCAACATGGATCGCAAAAGATTGTTACCACCCATGGTTTCTGAAAAGAAACAATGCCCCTTCTCTTCATAAAGTGAGACAAGGTACCCAGGTTTAGGTATTGCTAATATATTTTTTTCTGTTTCATCTTGTGAGCTTTGCTCATGTACAATTTGCTCTTAGGGCAAAAACATTATCCTGCTAGCTCAGCAAAATAGTTTGTGTAGCTCAGCTTATTTTCTCTCTCTCAACAACTACTGTTCACATATCTCAGGGTGCCTGTTTGCAAATATTGTCTCATATGTAGGATTTTCTATTCAAAATTCAAATTAATGTCAAAGTGACTGGACTCAAAGTGGCTTTTTGCCTTCCTCCTTCTGTGCACAGCTTGGCTCATTTGTGTGTGTGTGTGTTCCAAACTCTTTAATCTTCAAGGACTGATTGCAGCACTTTTGCTCAGTGCTTGTATCACACTGCAATTTGATACCCAGAGCACAGATGATACCGGCAGGATTGGATTAGACCAAGAGTGACCCTCAGCATCCTGTTGGTCTGTAGCATCTAACAATCTTGCCTGCACCTGATGTGAGTTAGAGCCCAAAAATGTCTGGAAAAGCACACTTTGCCTATTCCTGGACAAGATGGTCTTTCTCAACTTCAATTTCATAGGGAATATAAGAGTAAAACCTGCCCCCTTTTGATAGGTAGCTTTAAACTTTCCCTGCACATGGAAGTTGTTTTTACAGGCTATTAAATTTATGAGCTACCAATTGGCTGCTCTTATATTTGATTCTTAAATATCCATATTTCTAGTAGCTACCCTGTGGCAGTAGGCTCATAAAGTCAAGAATATATTGGACAGAAGAGTGTTGCTGGTTCCATATGAGAAACTCAGTGTACCTTCTCTTAGAGTGCACACCTAGGAGTGGAAATGATGAATTAGTTTTTCAGATAGTAAGCCTGTTGTGACGCTTGTTATCTGTCTGTCTAATCATGTGAAACCTAGAGGTTTCAGAAGATCACATTTAATTTGCTTATTTAATTTGCACAATCGAAACAAAGAAGCCAGTCCTCAGTCACTGTGAGGGTGTAAGTGTGGCATTATAGATGTGAAACTACTGTTGATGAAACCCGAGTTAAAATCCCCACTCAGCCATGAAGCTTATCTAGTGGCCTTAAACTAGTCACTATCTTTCATTACCTCAAAGGGCTGTCGTAATTACAAAATGAAGGAGCTGTGTAAGCTGCCTGGACGTACTTGAAAGAAAGGTGGAAGGCACATATAGTAATAAGGTAGTAACAGAATCCCACCAGAACAATCTTATCTCACCTTTTAATCGGGTAGCGCCCCTGGTAGATAGTGGGAATGGTGTACACATAATATATCTTTGATTTGACCAAAAACCAGCATGTTACTCTGCTTATTCTAACCAAGTGTGGACTAGATAGAACCAACTGCCAGGTGGATGCACAGTTGATTACAGAATCATATCCAGAGAGTGTTTATCATGAGGTAACAGGTGGGTACCTCAAGGCTCAGTCCTGGGCCCATGTTCTTCAGTATTTTTATTAATAACTTGGATGAGGGAGTGCAGGGAATGTTTATCAGAGAAACAAAATCCAAAAAGTTCTTGATAGGCCTGAGCACTGTGCTGAAAACAACAATTAAATTGAACATGGGTAAATGCAGAGGTCTGCACCTAGAGTCAAAAACAAACACACAAGAGGGGGTATCTTTTGCTCAGTAATATTATGAGTGAGAAAGATTTTGGAATTTTTGTAGATCAGAAGCTAAATATAAACCAGCAATGAGATCTAGTTGCAAAAAAGGCAAAGGGTATTTTAGGATGCATTGACAGACGTATACAGTCGTGCCCCACTTAACAGTTACCCCGCATGATGACAAATCTGCTTCACGACGATGTTTTTGCGATCGTAATTGTGATCGCAAAATGATGGTGTAAATGGGGGTTTTTTTGCTTTGCGATGATCGGTTCCCTGCTTCGGGAACCGATTCTTCGCAAAATGACGTTTTTCTAACAGCTGATTGGTGGTTTCAAAATGGCCGCTGGGTGCTCAAAATGGCTCCCCGCTGTGCTTAGGGATGGATTCCTCGCTATACAGGCACCGAAAATGGCCGCCGTATGGAGGATCTTCGCTGGACTGTGAGTTTTTAGCCCATTGGCATGCATTAAGCGGGTTTTAGTGCGTTTCAGTGGGTTTTTTTAATTTCGCTTTACGACGTTTTCGCTCTACAGCGATTTCGCTGGAATGAATTAATGTTGTTAAGCGAGGCACCACTGTAGTCTACAAATCGCGTGAAGTATGAATTCCCCTCTGTTCTGCATTGATTAGGCCTTGAGTGCTGTTTCTGGTTTTAGAAGGATGCCAACTAACTGGAACAAGTTCAGAGGAGGGCAACAAGAATGAACAGGGATTGGAAACCAAGCTTTATTATTATTTATCTTATTATTTAAGTGTGTATACCGTTCCCCATAAGTGCCAAAGCACTACTCTGGATGGTTTACAATAATAAACAAAACAAAGTAAAACTAAAATTATTTAAAACCAAAGTAACAACAAACCAATAAAACTAGATGCCACTAAAATTATAGAACAAAATGACAGAATGCAGAAAGGTTGAAAGAACTGGGCATATATAGCCTCGAGAATAGAAGACTTGGGGGAGGTATGATAGCATTTTTCAAATACTTGAAAGATTGTCATGCAGAGGAAGGGCAGGATCTGTTCTCGATCATCCCAGAGTGTGGGACTCATAATAATGTGATCAAGTTACAGGGAGCCAGATATTGGTTGAATAACAGGAAAAACTTCCTAATTATTAGACCAGTTTGACAGTGGAACCAATTACTTGGGGAGGTGGTGAGTGCTCCAACGCTGGAGGCATTAAAGTGAAAATTAGACAACCATCTGCCAGACATACTTTGATTTGGATTCCTGCATTGAGCAAGGGGTTGGATTTATAGGTCCCTTCCAACTCATGATTCTATCATTCTAACTTTAGTCCCCAGAAGGAAATGTGTTTCAGGGAGAACCAGAATTGACCTATGGCTGTTTGCCCTATAGCAGGCGAGAGAGGTGGCCTGGTTTTGTATCTTTCCCTTATTCTTCTTCACTGACCTGCGTTGTGTGTTACAGGGCCTGGCTGAGCTGGCCATCCATACAGTTCAGCTGGCTATTGACCCCTTGCATGCCAAGAATGAGGAAGAGAAGGTGAGCTCCTCTAGCTTGCGGAGCAGGCTGCTTGGGACTTTGTTACGGCCCCCCAGGGTAAGCAACACTCTGTGGCAGTGTTTCATATGTTAAGTAATGCATTTGGGGTGGGGTGAGGGTGGACTTGTTGGGACCCCCACAAGAAGCTTGCAATGCAGTCATATGCATGTCTGTTCTAGAGCTTGGAGACATAACTTTTTTTGCAGGGGGGAATTACTGCTTCCAGAATCCTACACTCCACATGACTGCTGCTTCTTCTTTACTCTTTCTCTTTCGATTTTTATTTCTTCTGTGCATTGCCTGAAAGGCTCGGGGAAAATTGAAGGAAGGGAGGGAGCCTCTGCACATGACAGAAACAGGTTTCTCATGAGTACTCGCTGTGGTACTCGGGAAAACAGAGAGTGAGGTAAACTCCCTGGGTGAAGAGGAGTGTTGTGCAGTGGTTAGTGTATTGCATTGGAACTTGGGAAGTGTTGAATCTGGCTCCTGCTGAACCTCAAAATTAACCAAGTGGCCACTCTATCTTTTTCAGCTGTACCTATTTCTGAGGGTTGTTGTGAGGATAAAGTAGGAAGGAGAAGAGACATGTTGGTTGCCTTGGGTTTACTGGAGGACAAATGCAATAAGAAATGTCAGTAATGAAATAAGAAGATGCCCCACAAGGAATAATATGCACAGTTGGAACTATAGGCATATCTTTACACAGACAAAGGTTTACTTGATGGTTTTTAAATAATTAGCCTGTGCTCCATGATGGACTTATAGAAATATGTCTGCTATGTTGCTGTTGTAACATTGAGTAACACAAAAACTATAGTGGAGTTGCATAATGCATTCTTGTTCCCCTGATAATCCTGTCTATTTCCTCCACCCAGAAAGATTCATCTCTTCCATCCCATCCTTACATCATTGGGCTGACAGGTGGAACTGGTAGTGGCAAGACCTCAATTGCTCAACATCTAGTTCGTCTTGGTGCCTTCCATTTGGATATGGACCGCGTGGGACACAACATCTATGTTCCAGGAGGACCTGTGTATGAGCAGGTGGTGCAGGCATTTGGAGCAGGTATTGCTTACCTCTCTGGGAACCATAGTTAAAGTTGCCATGCACAGTAAAATCATTGCATTTTTATCAATAATTCCAAACTGATTGATTTCTTTTTCTTAGCCAGACTCCTAGCCCTTAGTCTGGCTGCTTCCCTCTGAAAACCATGTAAATTGCTTTCTTTCCATCCAAACTTAGTTTTCCTTTTTCTTGCAGAAGGTGCATTGTTTATCAACACTCTTATTTGCTGCTTATCCTAAGCAGTTTGCAAATGTGACACAACATCACTGCACTTTTGCTAGTCATTAGAGTAGGCAAAGTGGGGACAGTGTAGGTGACAAGTTAAGTAACGGTGAAATTGGAACTAAGGGTGAAATTACTATATGTATAAAACTATTGCATAACTATTACTAAATATATTGAAAGTGTTGGTTGCCGTGTAAGATCTTGAGAAAATAGCATGGGGCAACATCTATGTGTTAGTCCCACTAGAATAGATACACTGAATGAATGGCACTGATACAATGACTGAAGAAGATCTTGTCATTCAATAGGTTTACTGTAGTTTGAATCAACAATAGCATTTAACATGATGCTATTTAATACTGAGGCTGATACTTAATGCCCCTTTTGACCTGGAACCATCACCTGCAAGTCATGTTCATTCTTTGCCTTCATGTACTAAAGCAATTTTGTGAAGCAGTGTTAAGATTACACACTACTAGATTCTCAAACACTCATTTCCTAGTATTTTTTTAGGATGACACAGATTGTTATATTGGTGTTCTTTCATGATGAACCTCTCCTTTTGTAAATCATGGGCAAAAACCTGTCATTTTGTGTCAAGTTGTCAGCTCATGTTCATTCTCTGCCTTCATGTACTAAAGCAATTCTGTGAAGCAGTGTTAAGATTACACACTACTAGATTCTCAAACACTCATTTCCTAGTATTTTTTTAGGATGACACAGATTGTTATATTGGTGTTCTTTCATGATGAACCTCTCCTTTTGTAAATCATGGGCAAAAACCTGTCATTTTGTGTCAAGTTGTCAGCTTCAGAAAAACATGTTGATTGGCTGATGAGGCAGAAGGATAGAGGTGCCCTCTCTGAACTTTGAACAGAGAGTGGGCTTGGAGGACCCTCCGATAGCTGAGGGAAGGGCTGTGTGATAGTTTTATTTTAGTTTACTCTCCCTCCTGAGTTGCATCTGGCTTGTTTTTGCAGAGATTTTAAATGAAGATGGGACCATCAACAGAAAGATCTTGGGGGCCAAAGTGTTTGCAGATGAGGTAAATCCCCCAGCTGGATTTGAGGGGTCAATATTTAACTTAAGTCTTTGTATCTTTCCTGAGCCAGCTGGTCATAGTTTGTTTCTGCTCACCTTTGTGCCACTGACGTTAGTTTGCTTTCTTGTTCCACAAAATTAGTGGAGCCCTTTCACCTCCTTTCCCTGCATGTTTTTGGCTTTGTATAGCTGGAGGAAGGGTACTGCCTGGAGAGTTGGGCATAGAAGAATAATCTCTTGCGTACAGTGAGCAGAGTGGAGTACACCTAGGCTGGGGGTTGTATTGCTGAAAGGAATGCATTCTGGGATTCCGCTCCTCCAAAGGATAGCAGATCCCACCAACTTTTCAGACTAGTACCTTCTGTTTTGTGCACACCTTTCTGTACCTGGAACAGTTTTAAACTTACAGCAGATATTTGAAATACAGCTTTTTAAACTGCATCTCCAAATTATAAAATAGAGGTGAGGAACATTTGACACACCCACCTGAATGTTTTGGACTACAGCAGCCAGCGTCCAGTGCTATTGACCGTATCAGGCTGGACTGATGGGAACTGTGGGCCAACACATCTGTAGGACCCAAGATTCTCCATCCCTGTTACACAATAGAATAAAACTGAGAGAAGATACAAATAAATGAGATACACAATGAACCTTGAGGAGTAAGAGAACCATATGAGCCTCTTTGCATATTACACTTTTCAGCTGTGCCCTCGCTCAAGGCTTGGTAAATTTAGCAGAATTTTACAAAATTGCTTTCTGGTGGTTCTACCCCTGCTTTAACTGGCATCCAGCATCTCCTGCTTGGGACAAGGCTGTCCCCAAACCACATTATGGGATGATGGCCACTTCTTGGCAGTTTATGGTGTCTTTTTGCTGATTATGATACATCATCTTGGAAGCTGTTGCTTTCAGTCCCTGTTCTTCCTTCCCACTAGGAACAGTTGAAGCGGCTCAACAACATCATGTGGCCAGTGATGGCTCAAATGGCAAAAGATAAGATAAATGAGGCAGCAGCACAGGGTAAGTCCAACTCATTATTCTGTTATTCAGTATTAGGAAAGGCTTAGGAACCTAGTGAGAATTGTGCATGAGACAAGTGAGGGCTTGAAATCATTGTTATTTAACTTTTCAGAAGAGTCAGTAATCTACGAAAGTTGTTCCAGAGAAGTTTACTTATCACAGACCTTACCCGCCAAAGCCATTTTATTTTAGTTTATTTTGCTGTGGAAAAATAGATCAGTTTTTTGCAAGCATATGTTGTCTGGATCTCTAGATCACATCTGAATTGTTAATAAATTCTGAGGAATTTTGAGATTCAAATTTGGTCCATTCTGGAGGAATCCCAGTTTAATTTCAACACCTGCTAGATTTCTCCAAACCAACCAGATTTAGTTCAGTATATCTCTGAATCCAATATATACTACAATTTCCATTGATCTTGACTTCCTGTGAATGTGCAACACTTGGGTGCATACAGCCCTTTCAGTTCTCCTTTTTTTTCCTCCTGCTTCCATGTGGAGATAAATAAGCGAGAAACTGATGATGATGTCATGACATTCACACCTTGCAACATATTATGATGTCTTGTTGTTCATACTCCAGCAACAAACCATGGCTTGTTTCTGGCTAGCAATCCTGGTGTGTTTGGGAACAACAAACCAGGATTCTGAGTTTGTATATAATGCTACTAGCTGCTTCAATTTTTTAACCACTCACTTGGAAAGTTAGTTCTTGGAACTATAACTCACAGGATGCCATAGCCACCATGACCACTGAGCATGTTGTCTGGATATTCTGGGAGTTGTAGTCTGAAAGTTTCCAGACTAGTGGAGAATCAAAATGTAAATGAATGAGTTGCAGCACAGGAAGCTAGGCATCCTGACTTAACTGTTTTGTGCACATGCAACCAAAGTGTTCTGTATCTTCTGTCTCATTGGAGGCAATACTTTCCCCATCCACCATTAAAGTTTCTTGAAACTGCTAATATATCATCTGCAGGAAAGACTGTGTGTGTCTTAGATGGTGCTGTGTTGTTGGAGGCGGGCTGGTCAGACTTGGTGCATGAGGTCTGGACAACCATCATCCCTGAAGATGAGGTAGGTACTCTTCCTTGATTCCTTTGTCACATATCTCTATATCCCACTTGTCTTCCATTTAGCTCAAGACAGAATAATTGCTGTCCTATTGTTCACTGTATCTCACAACAACACTGCAAGGTGGACCAATTGAAAGATTTTTGACTGGCCCAAGCACATCTAATGTGTTCAATAGCTCAAAGAGGATTGAACCCAGGTTTCCAGAGCCCTAGTCCCAACACTCCACTACACCAAGCTGGCTTTCTATGTAGTTCCTGAAACTGAATCCAAATCTCTTTACAGACTCTCTTGCTTTATCTTGTTCCTAAAAGTTACCCATTGGCAATCTGTTAATGATACTTTCTTTGTTGATATTGCAACATGCAGATAGTAAATTTCTAATGAAATGTTGACTCATATATTTGTATGAGTCAAACCTGAGCACTGCACTAAACAGGATGCTTTTCTTAGGAGTAAGCACTGTTATATAAGGAAAGATGAGGAATGTGTGGCCCTCTATATGCTGTTGGACTACATTTACCATGAGCTCTAGCCAGCTTGTTAGTGGTGAAGGATCGAGGGAATTGCAGTTCAATAACTGGAAAGCCACATATTTCTCACCCTTGCTATTGACTAAAACATGTCTAGATTAACCTGCATGGTGATGCACATTTTGACCAGTCCTGTTGCTTATTTATTCTTGTGTAAGGGAAATTGTGCTGTCAGGAAAACAGCCAGTATCTTGTTAATAAGTGGCAATTTGCCACCAAGTCTTATGCAGTGTCCCTTATGCAAGCTCAAATTGCTGTAGGATTCTGGCCATTAATTTTTCAATGCATGAGCGTATGCTATATGTATGCTGTGCATCTGGACAGTTGTGGCTTTCACGTCTTTGCTCTTAATGACTTTTCATTTAAAATGTACTAGCTCCACATTCCATTTTTATGATCCTCTTTGTGCTCTTATTTCTGTTGTTTGTGATGTTGTAGATGTTTTAAATTTTTTTATGTCTTAATATAGTTTTAAAGGTTTAACTATTAGTAATTTCGGAATCCTTACTTGGATCAAAAGGCAACAGATATATTGTTAAGTAATTTGAAATAATAATTAGACAAAAGATTACAAATAAAGAATGCTGCCATACTCTTTTGTCAAAGGAAGTCTAAAGTATTGCATTCGGTCAGCAGGAAGCTCTTTGAACAAACCATGCCTTGCCCAGCCATCTGAAAGTGTGGGAAAGGAAGGTGAAACATTTTGCAGTTGGTGCTTTTATTGAGAAGGCCTTCCTTTAGTGAATGAATGCCTGTCGTGTGTTGCTTCATAATAGTACCCCTAGTAAGCAGTTTTGTTTGTGACATTTCACTTTTTGGGTTTCAAGTACTGTACAGTGGTGCCTCGCTTAACGAGCACTTTGTTTAACGACGAATCCGCATAGCGCCGATTTTTGCAATGGCATTGCGATGTTTTAAATGGTAAAACATCGCTTTGCGATGATTGGTAAGCTGTTTCGCTTACCGATTTTCGCATAGCGATGTTTTTAGAACAGCTGATCGGCGGTTCCAAAATGGCCGCCGGGTAAAAAAATGGCTGGCTGCTGTGTTTTCGCACCCATTCCTCGCTTACTGGGCAGTGAAAATAGCAGCCGTATGGAGGATTTTCGCGTAACGGTGAGTTTTTTGCCCATAGGAACACATTAAACGGGTTTTAATGCATTCCTATGGGCTTTTTTTCACATAGCGACGAATCCTTATAGCGACGATTTTTCCGGAACGGATTATCGTCGCTATGCGGGGCACCACTGTATTTAATTCAGTTGATATTTTACCCCACCTTGAGAGCTCAATGTGGTCAACAGTGTTCAAGGTTTTTTTAATTCACTACAATAAAAAGTAAAATCTCTGTGAATTCCAGGACAGATAAAGAAGTTAGGCACAGTGAACAGTTGAAACTGTAAAATTCACTACCGCAACATGGGGCAATGGCCACCAATTTAGACAGCTTTCAAAAAGGATAAGCCAGATTTATAGAGGACAATCTTATCCATGGCATCTTAGCATGGCTACATATTGCTCTCAGTATCAGAGACTGTTATGCCTTTGAATATCACTGGGGTAGGAAAGCAAGCAGGAGGGTGCTGTGGCACTTGTTGTCCTGCAGTTTATTGGCTTTTTATAGACATCTGGCTGGCCAATGTAGGAATGAAATCCAAACTAGATGGGCTTTTGGTCTGATCCAGAAAGCTCTTCCCTTGTTAAACGGAGGATGTCCCCGAGGATGTCTTTCTCTGAGCATGTTTTGGTACTATTCCACTCACAGATTCTGAATTTGCTCTTTAGAAGAAGCAATGGCGCGAGGGGAAGTTTCCCAAAGCCAACTGGTTCATCATTGTGGGGACAGGAAACTGGACCGGGTGGGCCTTTTGTCTAACCTAATAGGAAGCTTCTTGAATGATCCACCCCCATGAACTAAAATATTCACTTCCTCCTACTTTTACTCCTCAAATAAAACATGCATTTGACACCAAATCCAGTAATTGTTTCCTCTTCATACTACTTTCTGTGTGTCTAGCAGGCTGCCTGTTCTTTTTTTTAATTGAAAAACTGCTCTATAAGTAAGGAGCAGATGGCTTTGTAGTTTTTGCTGGAAACTAGTATAACCTGCCAGTCTAGCAGTTTGAATGCGTGCAAATGTGAGTAAATAAATAGGTACCACCTTGGTGGGAAGGTAACGGTGTTCCGTGTCTAGTTGCGCTGGCCACGTGACCACGGAAACTGTCTTCGGACAAATGCTGGCTCTATGGCTTGGTAACAGGGATGAGCACTGCGCCCTAGAGCTGGACACAATTGGACTAAATGTCAAGGGCAACCTTTACCTAGTATAACCTGCAGAAATGGTTGTAGGCCAGCCGAAACAAAAATGGCTGCAATTCCAGAGGGATTTGGCAGTTCCAATGTGTATCGGTATACATCCTAAGTTCCTAGTTGGTCTCTGAAACTGGAGTGAAGACTCTTTGGACATCTCTCCTCCCACTAGCCCCAGCCAGTATGACCACTGGTGAAGGATTGTGGGTGTTGGAGTCTAGGCCATGCACAGAGCCAAAGATTCCCCACCACTTGTCTAAAAGGGCTTGTCTTTTAAGTTACAGTTCTATACTTTGAAGGGCCATCCTATCTTACATGAGCTTATTAGCTCACTGCATCTTTGGCAAAAGCATGAGCCTCTGCCTTGCTACCATCAGTGGTTCAGCTGGCTGAGTTGTGTTACAGGACATATACCAGATTGTGGCCTGGTTAGTTTTTTTCCTTATTCATATCTGGTCATGATTTTCTGGTTTTTAACTATCTTAAAACTGGGTGGGTGGGTGAGCATGCTTGGCAATGCTATAGAACTTGATTATAGATGGCTCTGTTCTAAGATCTTATCTCCTTTTATTATTTATATTCTATTTTACTTTATGGCACACAAGCCATTTTAGAATTACATAAGACAGATGGTGGGTAGAGGTGCCCATATAAACACCCACCCAATTTATTTTGCACCTCAAGACAAAAAGGGTGCTAGTGCAGACACTGGATTAGTGGTGCAATGATACCTTTCTAAGTACTGCAGTAACAATATATCATCTGACCTTGACATGTGACAGCTGTTGCTCTGTTATATACCACCATCAAGGGCTACCCACCTTAGAATGCAGGACAGCAGTATCACCTCAAGTAGTCTGTTTAATATACAGTTATCACACATATATCTACTTTGCTAAGTGCTTCTGCCAGTAATTTCAATGAGTGATCAGGTGCCTAATCAGAATAAATTGTGAAGAAGAAAATTCACTGCAGGAGTTATCCCCCAAAATACACTCTGGTAGATGCAACAATGTCCTCTTTGGAGAATGTGATAACTTACGTTGTCCCTGGATTAACCCTGTAATAAATACCTATGTAATAATTCTGAATTTTCTGTCTCTTTCCCAGGCCATAAGACGTGTTGTAGCAAGAGATGGTGTAAGTGAAGAAGCTGCCCGGTTGCGTCTGCAAAAGCAAATGCCCAACAGTGAGCGTGTGAAACGATCACACGTAGTTCTCAGCACAATGTGGGAACCGGAGATTACCCGTGATCTGGTAAGAGACACCTCCTGGTAGCACTGGTGGGGAGATCATCCTGCAGATCTCTTAAGTAGCCTGTCTCTTGAGCTCTGCTTCTGGTGACTTCATTGAATCATCACCTGTCCATTCTTTACAGATAGAAAAGGCTTGGGACCTGCTCCAGAAACGACTCAAGGACAAGTAGATCTATAACCTGAGATGGGATCACATCTTCATTCTCCTCCCTTGGTGCTGCTGATCTGGAACACTGTACACTGGATGGGTCCTATGCTGATGGGAGACCACAGATCACGGGGGGTGGAGATCAGGGGAAAGGGAGTTCAAGCTGTTTGATTTTGTTGGGGAAAGGACAAAGCTGAGTTTCCTCTGCTTCCCCTTCCATTGCAGAAGATTGAGGGAGAAGCATGGACAAATCAGGGATGCAGAGGTACCAGCTATGCAGGAGGAGGAGCTGTCTCAGTACCTGAAACCAATTATGATTGCATGATTTTGATGGATACCAAAGTTTCAGCAATGCCATTTACATGCAAGGACACTCACAAGGATGCAGAAGTGGGGACTGGCTCCTCAGCTTTAGCCCCCACTATTCTGTGCTGTGTGCTTCGCATAAGCTACCCATAAAGACAAAATCTCTGGACAGCTCCATCTTTGTGTAGTCATACTCATTCTATACACTTGTTGTCTTTATTTACACTCTGGTGTGGTCCATAGAGTGTCACAAGCAGGGTTGTTTTGTTTTGTTTTTTGTCTCTTGCACTCATCCAACACTGATAGCTTATACTAGAAAGGCAATCAGTTGCAATTTGTCTCCTAATTTAAGTTTGCCTTAAATACTGCTGTCTAATTAGATTCCCCACCCATCCAGTTTCCCAGGTTCTAATATAATTGAGAGAGCTTTTATTAACAAAGAATTTACCATGATGAATTTGGCATGAGGGTACTTGTAGCTTCCTTACAACTTCCATCTGTTGCTCAAGATTTTGTATTTTCAGTTCCCTCAAGAGACAACTTGAAACCAAAATTTTATGAAAACATAATTTGGCTTGTATTTAAAAACATATTTTTATGTAAATATTTTAATTAAATGTCATTTTAGTTGTAATGAAAAAAGAATGCAGTGCAGTTTTCTGAAGTTGTCTCACTCTGTGAATGCAAAGACAACGTATCTGTTCTCTGTACTTAAATTAGGGTGCAATCAGACAGTGAGAAAGCTGTGTGTCTGGTTGCAGGAGACAGAGTTGTGTAGCTAGGAGTGATCTCCCTTAAAGGAACCCTTCTGTCCATCAGGCAATCGCTCCAGTCTGTCTCTAAAAAGTAGTAGCCCTACTGTTGGACAAAAAAGGTCCAGCTTGCACACGGATCAGGGTTGTGTTGGGGCGCTGTTTCCCATACATCATGTGATAGCTGGGACATCGTTCCCACTGGACCGCACCACAAACAGTCCAGAATGCAAGCCATATATGCCCACGTGATAACACCTTAGTTTGAAGTCTCTAAGAACTGCAGCATATTTCCCAGCAGAACCCTGGAAAGTATTAATGGATACAATTATCATTTTAAGTTAGACGTTGTTGGCTTCCTTAGGCAAACAATTTCCAGTTTTCTTTTAGATTAGGAGGAGCCGCTAAGAGTTGAACCACTTTAAATTTGAAGTGCAGACATATCCTGAAATAATTACGGTATGAAATAGAGTGCTTATGTAGATCAGTATAGCTGCTGATGCAAATGATAGCAAAAGAGTAATTTTCATAGTGGATTAAACTCTTTCCAAATCTGGTGGTGATCCAGAGATTGGGATCGCGCAAGAAATCTAATTTTTCTAAGGCCAGAATGATTTGGATTTGGTGGTGAAAGAAGAGCAAGTCAGACAGAAGGGGAATCATAGGATGGGGAGAAGGGAAAGCACTTCCTCATTGCCAAAACAACTACAGTATTGTTTTGAGAAGTTATTATTTTTGTCCTGAACACTTAGTGTATACTTGAAGTGGATGCAAACAATGGCTACACTCCTTTGCATGCCGTCCCCTATTTTTTCTCCCTCAACATACATACACCCAGGAAAACCACTTTTGTAATTCACTGGGCATTCCCACTCCCTTGGTTATATGTTACAGATCACCATCACCATCACCATCAGACTACAGTACTTGCCTTTTGTCTCTCTGTGCTCCATATGGCCCGATGCAATTGCATTAACACTGTTCATTGTGAGAGCACCTTTCGTGTGTGCCGTTGCTCGCTGCTTGAGGTTGGACAATCTCAGTGGCTGCTGCTGATTTTTTTCACTGGCATCCCATCGGTGGTGATTTTGGTGAGTGAGGCATCGGGAGATGTCCGGCCATGAGACCTTGGGCATCAAAAAGATTGGTGTGGCATGGATTCCCTCTACTGCCATGAGGCCCAGACACAGAATGCTGGATGCCTCCATTATGGTGGTGTAATTTATTTGTGTATTAGTTAGATTTCTATCCTGACTTTCCTGCAGAGAACTCAAGACAACATGCATGGTTCTCATCTTTCCCATTTTATCCTCCCCACAGCCTTGCAAATGCAGTCAGGTTGAGGAAAGTAACCAGCTTAAGGTCACCCAGGGTGTTTCATGCACAGGTAGCTCTCTACATTTCTTCTGAACTGCAGCTCCCATGGTCTTTTGCCATTGGTTCTGCTGGCGAGAGCTGATGGGACTGCAGGCCAGATTAGTCTGGAAGGTCACAACCACCCACCTGTGATTTAACATGTCATTTACTTCAAAATTCAGTTTGACATTTTAATCACTAATCAATACTGCCTGTCAAGTATTCAAAGCATGTATCAGTTCCTGAGGTTGCACACAGTTCTGCCCTGTCATACCATATGGATGCAATGTCATACAGTATGGAGGCAATAATGAGTTAAGGGAAGAGAGGGATGTGAATTGTTAATGTCACAATGTTGTCATCTCCAGCGACTTGCCTGTACCCCAGGATTTTTCTGGCTACAAGTGATGGTATTTGATGCTGTACCACAGTTCTCTACTATACCCTCAGTTGCTAAAATAAGCAGAAAGAGCCATTTTTTGTATTCTAGTTGACATCGTCATGATAATTCGGAAATCTTCCATATTCCCCAGTTGCTTCCGTTTTGCCTTCCTCCTGTCTGCCAACAACCAAAGGTGTCTGGTGGTAAGAACAGAGATGAGCATATGCTGGCACCTGAAAACCCAATGCACCAAAGATGCTAAACCAGTGTCCCTCACACTCAAATGCATCAGGACAGCACCCTGCCTCACATGCTTATCATGCACAGTCCCATCGCTCGCCTTAGCATGTTTTTTATTATTATTTTTGCCTATCTTGACCTAGGACGGGTTCATCCATCACATGTCTACAGCTCCCTTACCACAAGGCACTTGCCCTTTTCTCCTCTCATAGTTTCCATGAAACTTTGCTTAAGCCATTTTGAACAGCCAAAAAATGAAAAAGGTGAAAAGGGGTTTTCAGAGTGGCCCCAAAACTTTAAATTGAAAAGCCCAAGACACAAAAGGAAGAAGAAACAAGGAAGAAAGAGCTTAAAACACAAATGTGGGCACCAATTCTTAGTTACATTTTTAAAAGGCTGAGGCTTGAATGTGGAATATGAATCTTGTAACACCTTAAAACACCTTCTGTTGGTTAAGCTTTTGTAGACTTCAGCTCACTTGCATCTCACACAAATTGGAAGAAATGCACTGCAACCCACAAGAGGCATTTGTTAGGAATGGGTAACATGAGGCTTGTGGGCCATGTGCCCCTCAAGGGCCCTGATATGAGTCCTCTACCGCATTTTTTTTTAAATGTGAACATAAATTTTCAATTATATTTGCTCACACCAGCCATGCTGCTGACACATTGTATGGGCAGATATCCAAAAAAGGTATTTTTTTCCAACTTGTGCTTTTAATAACTTTTTTTTTGTTTTGTTTTTTTTTTGTTTTAATATCCAAATAAGGTAATTTTTCCAGCTTGTGCTTTTAATAACATTTTTTTGTATTGGCTGCTTTACCTGTATCTGAGTGACTCCTGACAAGGTGGCTGCCTTGTGCCATTTAAGAGATGCATGGTAAATGGGCCTATGGACATCCAGTGATTTTCATGGCTTAGCTGGGATTGAATGTGGCTTTCCCAAGTTGCAGGCCGATGTGTGAAAATCACTTGGGGTCTCTCAATAGGTAATGAAAGGTCTCTGCAAAAGCCTTCTTGTTCAGCCATTCAAGGACTCACTGAAAACAAGATCTTGGCTTACTGACTCAAAGTAAACTTGTGGTCTACTGTGTGCAGAGAATAAGAGGCTTAGAAAACACCACAAGTCATGAATCTTGTTTATACGTATCTAAGAACTTCTGTCTCACCTGTAAAATGCATAAAGAATATTTTGTTAATTGTGAGGGTCCTGCTGGGGAGGTGGAAGGAGGTAGCCTCCCCCCAGCTGAATTGTATAGGCACAACTTGGAAATGTTACATGCCTCAGAATCCCCCAGTCCGCAGCCATGATGGATGGGGATTCTGGGGCACTAGTTTAGATAAGGAGTTTTTCCAGGTCTACATAGAGCAGGTGCTATTTGCATGAAGTTCCTGGATTCTGTTTTTACCATTTCCATTTAAATAAAGTTCTCTTTGGGGTAAACGTGATAAAAAGCACACAGCAAACCCCCAATAAAGTTGGACTGTTCCATTTTAATTACCTTTTACTTAATTGAGAGGTCAGTAGAATTTCAAAGGTTAAAAAAGTGACACCTCAACTAATTTATATAGCTTAGAGCTCTCTGGGGAGTGCCAGACCTTTGATGTTCTCACTTTATAGAGCATGATGAGGTAGTGGTAAACAGAAAGGGCGTGTTTCACACTTGGGAGATGCAGGTCTGTTTGGTATTTCCGACACCCCATTAAAAAGAAATTAAGTCATGCAGGCAGGGGCCTTGTGACTTAATACCATCACTCCAAACTTACTTTGGAATTGGTTTCCAGGAGGATCAGCGATGTTAGTTCATTCCAGTGAAAGAATTTTGTCATGTGCTGTTCCATAATGGCAAAGGGACTGGTCCATAGTAAATAGCTTTATTAGTACTTTTATTCAGTTGTAACTATTGAGCACAGATGAATAAACACCTGTTTGGATAAATCCAGTTATGAGGTCAATTGTTGATGCAGCAAAGTGTTCAATAACTTCAAATTTGATCCCTGCTTTTTTTTCTTATTTTTAAAATTGTATGATATAACATAAGATATAACAGTAAATGCAAAAAGAGGAAGAGAGTATTTTAAAGAACAAAGTAAAAGAAAAATAAACATATACTATTGAACAGGGTTTCTTTATATCCCCAATAAACTTTTGTTATACTAGTCTATAAAATGTCTCCCCCAAATTGTTGATATTCTGCTTGTAATCCATATGTCTCTTATGAGAAAGGGGGCCATGTCTCAAATAGTATATCTCCACATGATGATCTTGTCGTAATTTTTCTTTTCTCAGTTAATTTCTCTAAAGTCGTCATTTCCCATCGTCTCTTCATCCATGTGTGTGTTGAAATCTCCAGCATTTCCCAGTCTGTGTCCATTCTAGCTACTGAAGTCCACTTTAGGAGTCACATTCTTCAGGATATTCTGCCTCCTAAACGCTTAATGTCACTCATCCCAAGGGTTTAACTCATGCCATGTCCTCATAGGCTTTGAGTCCTAATAGATCATTCAGACTCTTAACCATGTATTTCATTACTCTGATTTCCTTCTGTGCCTCCACCCCCACCCCACCCCCATTGAATCTTCTGTGATTGCTAAGCCTTCTCCTGATGGTTTCTTCAGGCTGTGATTTAATCACAGGTTCTGTCTTGATTATAATCCAAATACAGGCAGTGGCATAACAGTGGCATTTGTTTCATAGGCCAGCTTCAATTCTTTCACATGCCCCCCCCCTTTTTTTGTTTACTTAGCCATCTGAAAAGTTTGATTATCTGATAAGTTAGATATGGCTTCCCAAATTGCTGCAGCTTTTGCAAGCCTTTTTCTTACAGCAAACAGTCTTTTCTTGGGTAATTATCCTTCTGTGATTCTTTCTGGTACATCCCTGGCATATTTCCTCTCGGTTTTCTGGATCTGTCATCTGGACTCTCCCCCCCCCAACCCCCAGGTCTCCTTGGCCTTTGTTGTGGGCGACTGTGGGTGTGAGTTGGAGGAAGGCATCTGCTATGAGTGGAAGGGCTGTTTGGAATCTAGGTGCTAATCAGGTGTCAAATTGATATTCCAGTACTGCATTCCAGTACTCAGCGGCATACATACATACCGCCTCCTTCCATATGAGCCTAACCAGCAGTTAAGATCTAGCCAGGGGGCCCTTTTGAAAGAGCCATCCCTCAAGGAGGTAAGAGGGAGGGCTTGTAGAGAAAGGGCCTTTTCGGCAGCTGCCCCCAGACTATGGAATGCCCTCCTGACAGATTCATCTGGCGCCAACGATGATGACATTTCGGCGCCAGGTCAAAACCTTCCTGTTCCAGAAGGCTTTTAATTGAAATAATATCAGCTGAGGGTCTGATGGCAATTTTTAGAGTATATATTTTTAATTGCATTTTAATTATTTTGCCCTTTTATTTTGCCTTTTTATTGTATTTTAAATGTTGTAAGCCGCCCAGAGATGTTCGGGTAGTGTGGGCAGCATATAAGTTAAATGAATGAATGAATGAATGAATGAATGAATGAATGAATGAATGAATGAATGAATGAATGAATGAATGAATAAATGAATGAATAAATAAATAAATAAATAAATAAATAAATAAATACATAAATAAATAAATAAATAAATAAATGCTCATGGTGGCACAAAGTATCCCATATGGCAAGCCAGACTTGGGTTTGCCAGTGAGTCTTGTGTGGGCGACTGGAATCCAGTTGCCTGGGTGGGCAGTGGGAGAAGAGAGTGGAGCCTGCTGTCAGTATGTACCTATATATAGGGTGATAATTATGCTACGTGGCTGTTTGACTACACATTTGACATGAAAAATGGGGTGTTCTTAAATAATAACTTTGTGTAAGTTGAGCCAGATTCTAATACTGAAACACTTCTCTGGAAGGACCACGTGTAATATTTGCACATATTTGCTAAATATTGAAAATGCAGGTGTTCAGATTGCAAACTGGTCCATCTCAACAGACCAGGCAAGTGCCTCCTGAAGCCATTAGAAAAATACAAGCGTGGGAATCGATGTCAGAACATGACCACTGGTTTTAAACAAGGAATTGGAGGCCACTTCACAGAGAGGTTTATTACTGGATCTTAGGCACAGTGTTACTGTATTCAAGATAAGTGCACTGTAACTAGCCAAAAATGCTATGTAGGCACAGCAGTCTCTTCCCCCATCTCTGCCCTACAAACACACACTATCCGTGGGAATAAAGGCACATCATCACCTCCTGCCATTTCCCAGACACATGCTAGGCCCGTTGTCAAATCATACCGCGGCAGTCTTGATTTCTAGCTGATTTCTAGTATTCTAAGCAGGAGGCAAGCAAAGGGGTTCCCAACCGTGCTTTAAATCAGGACAATGTGCTTTACTCCGATGTCTTCAAAATGTGGGAGTCAGCCCTGTTACCTTCAGGGACCCTCTTGCTCATCTAGGTCAGAACGGGGGCCCACCACAACACAGCTGACTTTCTCTTATACAGCTTGGCAAAATTACAGTATTTTTTTAAGAACATAGTTCTCCACATCTATGCCCTGTGACCATGATGGACATTCTTCGTGAGGCTCTGGCCGGGTGTGGGTTCGGTTTAACCCACTTCGATTGCGCTTTTGTCGCTCCCTGTCCACACACCTGTCAAGAGCTGGCCTGACCTGCTCCGGAGGGGCGGGACGGGGGCTGAATCTCCCGGCCCCGCTCCGCCCCCCTCCAGACGCGCCTCCAGGGGGGCGGGAGGCAAAGACTCGGAGCTCGTTAAGGCCGGCCACCCGCGAGTTGCGAACCCAGAGATTAGGCTCGGAAGACGGCCTGCGCTTGAACGATGGCCGGGACCTCGAGCCGCTTCGGTCGGAGCAGCCTCGACGCCGTTGTGCGGCTGCTGGAGACCGGCTTTTGCCCGCGCTGCACGAAAGGATCGCGGTAAGAGGAGAGCCCGGGAAGGACTGTTGGGGATCGGGGGGGGCTGGGATGCTATAGGGGGCGATCGGAAAGGAACGCCGAATTTGAAGGGTCCAGGAAAGGCGGAGGAACGCATTTGTCCCGCATCGTGGTTCTAACTTTTTTGCGAAACTTGGTCCCCTCAAAGTTTTCTAAAGTCAACGCAAGGCATAAGGGTAGACACGCTGGATGGGCGAACTTTCTTCTGAGCAAAACTACTTAAGGACGTCCCAATATGAATGAGACTGCATTGTAACCCTGTCAATTAATTCAGTGGCGGGGCTTTAAATACTTCGGTTGGCTCTTACTATAAAATGCGAGCGAAAAGGTATAAGACAGTGTAATTTAGCTGAGCAGCAGATAAAAAATAATATTAGAATAATTGCAAATATTTTAAAACCAATTAAAGAGAATAAAGGGCACAGTCCAGCCCCCACAGTGTTAAGCAACCCATTTATTCCACTGCCAGAGTTAAAATACAGATGAACAGTACAGTTTTATATATGCCTCTAATAGTGAGGCAAGATGTAGCACAGACAGTTAGGGGCCATAATGTAAAGTCTGACTGAATAATATAAATCAGACTCCATTGAAAACCTGTCAGTATAATCGTCATTCAAGTCTGTGCTCCAACTGCTGATGCTGAAGATGAATCTGAAAGCTTTTATGCAAGTATTCATGAGGAAACTGAACACACGCCAAAACAAGACACTTATAATCATAGGAGACTGGAATGCAAAAATAGGATATAAAGCAGAATCAAATGCTGTTGAAAAATTTGGTCTGAGGGTGGGAGAGAAATGAAGCAGAATGATTCACAGAGTTGTCTGAAGCCAACAATCTGTTTATTGCAAATAAATAAACATGCAAGCAACCAAAGAGGCATCCGTACCCATGGACATCACCAAATGGTCAATACAGAAATCAAATACGTAATTGGAAGCAGGAGATGGACAAGTTGTCTTCTTTCTGCCAAGCTCTGCAGTTCTATTAAAACAAGACCACAAGTGGATTGTGGTACTGATAATGAACTATTAATATCCAACATTAGAGTAAAGCTGAAAAAGAACACTAAGAGAATCCTAGTGCCAGAACCTGCAATGCTAGAAATTGAAGAGATGATCTGAAAGCACTAGGAAGAAACAAATCCTGAAGGAAACCCACAGGCTTAAGTTTACAAGAGCTGAGCCGGGGTGTTGAGAAGGCATTTTGGAGATCTCTCATTCATAAGGCTGTTGAGAAGGCATTTTGGAGATCTCTCACTCATAAGGCCACCAGAAGTCTGAGGCAACTTGACTGCAAAAAAGACAAAACCCACCAGAAGTCAGAGGCAACTTGACTGCAAAAAAGACAAAACAACAAGAAAAGACAAAACCGTTGTGTGATCCCTCCTCCTTACAATTTTGCCAAATGATTACCTTAATAGTGGCCATTGATAAGGAGTAGCTGGGTGATAACTGGAACATCTTTGCTTGGATAAGAATTTTAAAACAGCTGAACAAGAGTTAACAAAGAGGTTCAACTCAATCTCTAAACCTCTCAGTATGCTGGTGAATTAATCACCTTATCCACTTAAGCATGTCTGTTAGCATTCAGCTCCTTGCTGATAATGGCCACTGTTTGTGTAATTATCACTGTTTGCACTTTTGGCATCTCATTTCCCTCAGATCCAGAACTTAAAAAGTTATGTTTTAAAAGGAACCCATTAGATTCTGACTCTTTATTCTCCAGCAATCATTGCATCCTACAGAGAAATACTCTCATCCCTCTAACTACTCATTCTGATATTGCGCCTTGGAAATGCCTACAAAAATACAGAATATAAAACTGAAGTATTTTATGCCCTTTAGGACTAAAAAAGAGAATGACATTAAATCTGAAAAATTCAAAATTTCTCTTTAAAAGCCCTTTAGAAGTAACATGTGAAAGTATATAGATGTTACTCATGACACTTAAGCAACTTGATACTCATTTCATCTAATAGTAACTTATAATTACTATTTACATTCGCAAAGGCTTTCATGGCCGGGATCTAATGGTTGTTGTGGGTTTTTCAGGCTCTTAGGCTGTGTTCTGAAGGTTGTTCTTCCTAACATTTTGCCAGTCTCTGTGGCCGGCATCTTCAGAGGACAGGAGTTAGAACTCTGTGCTCTGGTGCAGTTTGTTTGGGAGTTGAGTCCCAAAAACCCACAACAACCACTATTTACATTACTTGTTTCCAAAAAAGTAACTTGTAACAGGAGACGGTGTTACTTATAATCAGTTACAGTGGACCCTTGACTTACAGACGGCTTGACTTACAGACTTTTTGAGTTACAGACTTCTCTGGCCGCAAAATTTAGGTTTGACTTGCAGCCTGAGAATTGACTTACAGACCAGAAAAAAACCAAAATGGAACAAAAACGGCCTGTTACGGGATTAATCGGTTTTCAATGCACTGTAGGTCCATGGAGACTTGACCTACAGACTTTTTGACCTGAGAACCGCCTTCCAATACGGATTAGGTTCTCAAGTCAAGACCGCATTGTACTTCTAAACTCTGCTTATTACAAGCCATCACTCACTGAACAGGTACAATTGAACATACAGTACTGTATAACATATTTAATATAGCATTACGTATATGGGATTTCATGTGAGAATCCGCCAACTCATGAAGTAGGCTTTAGCCCTCAAAAGCTTATGCCCCCAAGATTCTTGTTACTTTTTCTAACTGCTGCCCTTTTCCCTTTTTTTGTCTGCAGACTGGGGTTGTCACACTGCAGGCACTTCAGCTGCAACGGGATCCTCGCCCCACGGATTCTGAAGACTTGCCCTACCCAGGCTTCAGGGTCAGCTACAGCTCAACAAATCCGTCCCTTCCTGAGCTTGGCGGCTCCACTGCTCGGTGCCAAGAGAGTGGAGTACACAGAAGTCCGTCAGCTCCCGTGAGTGTGCTTCCCTCTTTTAAATCTTGCCGAGATGCTAAGCCTGTGTCAGGGTTGTGCAGCCCACAAGAGTTCAGAGGGTGAAACAATTTTCCAAATGGAAAAAAGAAAGAAAGAACTCCACCCTGACTGTGGAAAACTAACATTCCTATAGAAAGGGCCTTAGATCATAGCTAATCAGATTAGATTTTCCTTGGTCCACTCTGCCGCGCTGGGGCACCCTTTTTACTGGTTACTTCAAATATCGCAGAGATGACAAGGAAGTTTGACACTGATCTGTGGTTCACGCTGAGTGGTTCCCCCTGACGCCTCAAGGACTGCGTTTGTGTGCATTTGTATGGGAGCTAACATTCTTGAGATGCTGCCCTTGTTAGTCAGCACCACTGTGTGTTCTCGTTTCCTTCTCTTCACATCCACATTTGGCCATTCTCGCTCATCTTTGCCATTGCCCCTCCTTTCTCCCCTCACAGGTATTCCGTCGATCAGATGTATGACATTGTAGCCGACGTGGGCAGCTATCAGCAGTTTGTCCCCTGGTGTAACTGCTCCCGTGTCATCTCCAGTCACAATGAATTTTCTCAGGCTGAACTGGAAGTGGGATTCCCTCCTGTGACAGAACGATACGTTTCTGAAATTTCTGTAGTGCCGCATCGACAGATCCGGGTAAGGACCCTTGGTGAATTGGGAGAGGTGCTTTGCCCTGATATTGATATTGGTATAATATCAGGGGCACTGCTTTGTCAGCAACTGTTTCCTACGCAAAGGCAGAAAGGAAACTTTCCATAAAGCCATACCTGGAAGATCAACCCCAGAAACCCAATGGGCTGAAGGCTGGCAATCAGCAGTGCCATCAGATTAGGAATTAGGGGGTGGTCTATGGCTCTGTTCAACAGAAGGAGCAGGAGGACCCCAAAAGATACCAAAGCTGGCTTACCACTCTGAAATCAACGCAGTCATATGCTCTCCTACTTAAAGATCGTCTACCCCTATTATATTGCCTTTGAAAGAACAGAACCACTAGTCCTAGAACTTCTAGCAATAGCCCAGCACAAAGAAATAGGGCAAGCAACGATTTCCTGATTCTTTCTCTGCCGGGTATGCACTTTATCTGCTCAATATCTGTGCATCAGAGCAAAGAAACATGACCTAGAGTAAAAGAATGCAGCAATTTTAGCAGAGCTTGGGGGAAAATACGTTTTGACTACAAGACCCAGAATCCTCCAGCCCCTATGACCACAGCCATGCTGGTTAAGGCATTTTGAGAGCTGGAAACTCCAGTTGTCTAAACTCTGATTTTAAGACTGAGATAGCTGATAGCAATGCATTGTTGCTGGCAGAATCCATCCTTCGTTTCCAGTTATTGTGAGAATTGCAGTTAAGCTCAAAGGGAACAGGGAAGGGTGAGGGGTGGAGGTGGCGCATAAAGTCACTCTTATTATAGTTGAGCCTTGTTTTTCTTTGCTTTCACTACACCACTGCGGGGTTGTTGTTTTAATTTGTTGTGAGTATAGGGCAGAGTTTTGGTTGGCAAAAACAGAATCAAAGCTTAAAATTCTTCTTTCTCTGGGCTAAGTGTTGCCTCTTCCAATCTGGGTCAATGGCAATGTCTTTGATTACAACACTCATAATCATTGTGCGTGGGGCAGATGGGAGTTAAGAGTCCTCAACATCTGAAAAAATGCTAATTAGATAAGGCAGGGCTAAAGCACAACCTGAAATTGGCAGAGCTTCGTCCAGAATATTCTGGGCCCTGTAGATTTGAAATATTTCTTTTTGTTAGCGATGTGGCCCCAAGTTATAAGTTCTGCAATTATTTGTTGGAGGGCCATTGCTGCAAAACTGGTTTAAAGCACTTTCAGCTGATTATGTTCCAGCTCTTTGTGTCACTTCCTCTTACACACGCATCCTTCACATGCAAAGTGGCAACATCATGGGAGAATTGACCTCATCATGTTTTTAGAAAGCATTGGAAAGTGACAATAGGATTTGCCAGTAGACATGTGAAACTTTAAACCATTGTCAAGAACCAACTTTTTTTTTAAATTCATCTAGCACTGTTGCCACTAAGCATATTAAGACTTCTTTGCATTCCCCATTGTGATGGGCTTTGTATTGACACTACTGTATGAGGAATTCATACACTAATTTACTGCTCTCCCCATCCAAACAAGATTCAAATTCCTAACAAGGAACAGAATTTCAAATTCCCAAGGAGAGATGTAGAGAAACCCACAAGATGCTTTCATTGGATACCTGCATGCTGTCCGAGGGTGGCATGTGCCTTACTTACCACCATGTAGTGGTAAAGCATGGCTGTTCCTCTCTGAACACACTGATCTTGGAAACTAAGCTAGATCTGAGTTAGCTTGTACTTGGATTGGAAACTACCAGGGATTGCCATGTAGGGAAGGGGTGGACAACATGCAGCTTGTGGGCAACATTCCACTCCTCCATTTTTCTGCTACCCAAGAAGGTCCATTTCTTCTCTAGGTAGCCTACAGGAGTCGCCTCAGGGACCTTAGCAAAGGCAATAATGTTAGGAGAAGCTGACAGTAATAGGAAAAGAGGAAGACCTAACATGAAATGGATTGATTGAATAGCCATGGCTCATAGTTTGCAAGATCTGAGCAGGGTTGTTCATGGCAGAACTTTCTGGAAGTTATTAATACACAGGGCTACCATAACTAGATGGTAACTTGATAGCACAGAAGAAATCTAACAGATACATAGCAGTGTGAACTTTGTGGGTTACAATCACATATAAATTAATGTATGTTCAATTTATACAAATCTCTGCCCTCTCCATCTGGATGATTTTCTTTCTTTCTTTCTTTCTTTCTTTCTTTCTTTCTTTCTTTCTTTCTTTCTTTCTTTCTTTCTTTCTTTCTTTCTTTCTTTCTTTTTCTTTCTTTCTTTCTTTCTTTCTTTCTTTCTTTCTTTCTTTCTTTCTAGTGTAAGGAGGATGGGCCAGAGAGTATAGTCCTGATCTCTCCTCAAGGGAATATAATTATACATATCCCTCATCTATGAAGAGACTTCTGGAAGGCCACTTTATGCCTGGCTAGCATATATGAAGAGCTGCCCAGTTCTTTCTTCACTAGACAGTTTGTCAAACTCAAACAACTAAAATGGGTGATTTTTCTGTTTGGACTGATTTTGAAACAGCAGACATTCAACCAATGCTGCTTTGTTCACCTTTCAGGCTGTGAGTAAGGATGGACATTTATTTCGACATTTGGAGACACTGTGGCAGTTCAAGCCAGGACGTCCTGGACAACTGGATACATGCATGCTCAAATTTTACGTAAGTGTCTCTTGTGTGCCCCTTTCTGTGCCAGCTGCTGGTTGCAAGTGGGACTCCAAAGTTAGTTGAATGGGTGGTAAAGGTTAAAGGAAGCAAGTTTGCAAAGTCCAGTTTCATCACAAGTTCAAAGGTTGGCTTAAACAGGGGATTTTATGGCAGCTTTGTACATTTGTCACAAATTGATTAGGCAACGTCACATTTAGTTCCTGAAGTACTGAGTATCTGTTTTAAGTGCAGAATGGGCTTTTTCTTTTCTTCTTTTAACCAGGTAGAGAGGCCATCAACCATAAGTATTAACTTTCAGTATCTCAGTGTATTGCATTTTCAAGCACATTTCACAACTACAAGAGTTGGAAACCTGTTTAAAAAGTAAAATCTGATACTTCACAAAACTGTGATCAAGACTGGTAGCATTTATGCTGCAATCCTCTCTACATTTTTGAGTTGTAGCACATACAATTTTTTTTAAGTTTGCCATTTCGGTTTGCCATGTGGTTTGATTTGTGATTTTTATTTCTTTTAGATTGCTTTAACTGTAGGAAAAACATTAGATTCTCCCTAAATAATAAGGCGTCTTGAGAGTTGGCCTTTGGTTTAGAGCAGCATTTTCCAAACTTTTAATACTTGGGACCATCGCACCCCCCTGCCCAGATTAAAATCAGTGCCACACTTCATTCATACATAGCTGCCTATACATCTCCATCAGCAGAGCTTAGATAAGTTACTGGGGTGGGTGTGTTTTGACAACACTTTCCAGAATCCTCCTGCTAGCATGTGGGATTCTGGAAGCTGTTGTCCAAAAAAGTACCAAGCTCATTTGTTGGACAGGATGCCCAAACGGGCCTCCTTTTGTGCCATTGTCATCGTCATTGCTTTTCATTCCTCTTCTTTTTGGCCCTAATCTACACCACTGCGTCTTTAAGCAAAGGCTCTTTGTTACCATGGCCATGATTAGCACTCATGGGAACAGATAGCAACAGCTACAAAGTATTGCATGGGGAGCTTTCAGGGTCACCTGTGGGCTCTTTGCCAGATATTGGTTTTAAGAATGATAGTCCTGTTCCTTACATAGCTGCCTATACATTTCCATCAGCAGAGCAGGAGGGATGAACGTCATTGTCAGGCAGACCCATAGCAGACAAGGTCAGCCCAAGACATGTTGTTGTCTTAACTCCATAGTATCCAAGCAGGGGAGACTCTACTTTCCATCAGCAGAGCAGGAGGGATGAACGTCATTGTCAGGCAGACCCATAGCAGACAAGGTCAGCCCAAGACATGTTGTTGTCTTAACTCCATAGTATCCAAGCAGGGGAGACTCTACTACCAAGCTCATTTGTTGGACAGGATGCCCAAACGGGCCTCCTTTTGTGCCATTGTCATCGTCATTGCTTTTCATTCCTCTTCTTTTTGGCCCTAATCTACACCACTGCGTCTTTAAGCAAAGGCTCTTTGTTACCATGGCCATGATTAGCACTCATGGGAACAGATAGCAACAGCTACAAAGTATTGCATGGGGAGCTTTCAGGGTCACCTGTGGGCTCTTTGCCAGATATTGGTTTTAAGAATGATAGTCCTGTTCCTTAGAGTGATATTATTCTTCATAAATTTAGCAATATATATAAAGAGCAGGGGGGAGGGATGAACGTCATTGCCAGGCAGACCCATAGCAGACATGGTCAGCCCAAGACATGTTGTTGTCTTAAGTGCATAGTATCCAAGCAGGGGAGACTCTACTATGACATTAATGAAGGTTATGCTTCATTAATGTCATAGTAATGCCAGAGGCCCGCAGAAGCGACTTTAGTCCACATTTTGTGATGATCTGTCATGGAACAACCCCATTGAAGAACATAACACTAGTGACCCAGACCTTGTTACTGGTTGTGAAGCCCCCCCCAATAAACGCTCAAGCTTCAGGGGCTCCCCAAAATATATGTCTGCAATTGCATCCAAGGTTTTTTTTGGCATAGGACAGAGAAATCTCCCACACACCTCTCTCCATCTCCAGAGTAATAATAATAAGTTAATAATAAAGAAGTAGATCACTGATGATTTGCTGCCCTTTCATACTCCAGATCAGCTGTCTGTGCTGAATACATCACTGTGCCTAATGATAGGGACAGTTCTATTGGTAGATGCATTTGATGAAGTGTTTTCCAACAGTACATACCATGAGTGAGTGCACACAGACATGCGAGGTACAGTATATCACTGTATTAATGGTTTCAATCTCTCTTTCCCCCCTCTCAGGTGTCCTTTGAATTCAAGTCAGTCTTCCATTCTCAACTGGCCAACCTCTTTTTCAATGAGGTAGTCAAGAAGATGGTGTTAGCCTTTGAGAGGAGAGCAGGGAAGCTCTATGGCCCACGGGCTGCAGCCCAACGACGCAAGGCTGTTCGACATGCATGACAGCGGACGCACTTGGAACGGAAATTGGAGCATCCATCTTAGCCTTAGGGAGAATTTTGTCTTGATCATCCAAGACTGGTCATCTTTTCAGATGCTCTTTTTTTTTTGAAAAAGGGACATTGCTTTATTTATGCCTATTTAACTTACAAGTAAATTATTTCATTGATCAGGTTATTTTATTGAGAATATTGTTTTAGGGTAATTTATTGCATATTTAATTCTGATGTTCAAAAGATAACTCCTAGCAATAACTGAAAACACCAAATTTGTGGGATTTTAAAGAAGTTTTTATGCCAATATTTTTTTTCTTTATGTTGTGGTGTTTTTATTTTAAATGTTAATAATACTTGGATAATTGTAAATGTCCTGATCTTGTGTGTGTTTATTTCAAACACTTCTTAGCCACCTCCATGAAAAGCTCCTTCACTGAAATGAGCAAACAGTCCTAAAGGCTAGGACGGCTCCACTTCTATTCTATTAAGTGTATACATAGTTTTCTAGTCTGACCCTTTATTCAGGGAGAGGTCCCTATGCCCTTCGGAATAATATACATACATGGAACATTTTGACTTATCTCCTTCAAACAACTAGTTTTCTTTGAAGATAATTCAAGCAGTTATGCGGAAACTAATGTTTCTGGAGATATTTCAGGAATCTGAGTGCGTCAGTTTTTGCTTCCTGTGTACAGTATTGGCCTGCAGTGAGAACATACAAGAACAAATGGGATAACCAGGAAACTGAATAACAGCACAAAAATCCTGCTGACAGAAAAGAGTTGTTGGCATGTCCTGTTTTCTTCTTCAGACTCCATGTTCTCTGACCATCCGGTACACATACACATGCTCACTCACTGGACAAGAAACACAGTTGTGTTCAGTAGTTGGAAGAATATTTAAAAAAAATAAGCTCTGGCAATATCTAATAAACTGGAGAGCTCCAGCTTGGCTGTCATCCCTTCCTTCTACAAAGCTGAGAACATGGCTTGTGAACTGCCTTTCCTCAGACAGCCTGAAGTGACCACTTGAGATGGCAGATGTGAATAGGCAGCAGTAGTCCAGTCCCTTGATTAGTCTTACTGTCGCTCTCAGCTATTTCCCTCTTCTGGAGGTTGTTGCTGTATATACTACACAGCCAGTCCTCTTTGCCTCAACCAATCTTAAAGCCTCAGGTGTAGCAGAGGTTCTCCTTCCATTGTTGGAATGAAACTACGTACATTGACAATTCTGCCCAGGCATTTTTATGCAACAGTTGGGAAAGTAGATGTCTTCCTTGTTACTCTTCTCATGTCAAAAGCTGAGTCTGAAGAGAAGTGCTCCTGTTCTGATGGACACGTTTCCTCTGAGGAATAACCTGAGTCTCTTCTCATGTCAGGAAAGTGACGATGATGATGCAGAGGGCAGAACTCTTTTCCTCAGGTGTTGAATAAACAAGGTATATGAACCCCGAATATAGGCTTTTACCTACAGGTTTTCAGATACAGTAATAGGGTTTGGGGTTTTTAAAATAGCCAATGAGAAATAATTGGGTTTCCACTGTTTATGGAAGCTGGGAATGTTATTTGTAACAGTTTTTGGACCGAAAGAGAGCTTTCTTGGGCCACCTCATGTGGCACTTCCCTAACATGCCCTACTTTTGATCCTCAGCAGAGCACCAGATTCAGTCCACAGCAAGTTAAATACCTCAGTCACTCTCCACAATGTTGTTTTCCTACTTATTAGAGCTCAGTGTAAAAAACGGCAAACTCAAACCTGGTGCTTCTCTGAGCATGTAGAGAGTGGCTTTCAAACCTGTTTCACAACGAGGACTAAGGATAGCCCTTTGTCTAGGGACATTTATGAATGGCAAGAACAGTCCCACCTAACATTAACTATTAAATGATTAAACTACTGTTCCAGGGCAAGTCGTCATAAATGAGTGCAACAGCTCATTTGGCCCAGATGAAAGCTAACTTTCTCCTCCTGACATCTGACCTACCAGCGGAGGTTTTGTACCTGAGCTGGCTGGAACAAGAATGTGCTGATTGCACAAGCAGAGATTTGCTGACAAGATTAGGAACAGAAGCCAACACAGACGATGTCAGGGAGCCAATGTCCCTGAGTGCCTTAAGGACGTCAGAGAGAAGGTGGTGTCTTGGGCCAGCCAATGGTGCTGTGAAGGGAGGGAAAACGTCCATCCGTACCAGTAAATTTCATCACATAAAACAGAAATGGATCGTTCCTGCTATCTCTCAACGGCTGGTGGTTATGTAACCAAAATGATAACAACTCTAAAAGAAGGTAGACTTTCCACTCTGGAGGATAGGATAACGACCAGGAAAAAAAAAGGCAGAGAGTTGAGAATCTGTGGCTGTTGCTGGAAGATGAACAAACATTTTCCACCAGGCATGTTTCTGCTACCATCAACTGCCTATCCTAACATCTCCAGGGCTTGCCGGTTTCCTGAAATGTGTTTAGCCAGTTCTCCCATCTCACCATGCCGGCTTCACCACTTCTGCTCTCCTTCTGCCAATGGATCTTTCCTCAGCCCAGCATCACTTCATTCATCTTAACCCTGAATGGGGAACCTCTGGTGCTCCAGGCGCAGTGGACCACAAATCCTGTAATCCCCTACCACAGACCATGCCAGCTGGGCCTCTTGGGGCTGAAGAATAAAACAACTCTCCATTTCAGTCTAAACCTCTTTCACCAAGTTAGGGATGGGCAAATACAGATCTTGAGATAATCTTAGAATCTTAATCTTAGCCTACAATTCCCATCAGTCTTCATCAATGGACAATTCAAAACAACCAAAGATCCACAGTTGCCAACACCTGATAACATCAGGTTTCTTTCATCTCATATCACTGGTAATGACTTTTGCTTAGTTGTTAAGTCATGTCCGACTCTTCGTGACCCCATGGACCAGAGCACGCCAGTCCCTCCTGTCTTCCACTGTCTCCCGAGTTTGGACAAATTCATATTAGTAACTTCGGTGACACTGTCCACCCATCTCGTCCTCTGTCGTCCCCTTCTCCTCCTGCCTTCACATTTTCCCAACATCAGAGTCTTTAGCAAGAAGTCTTTTCTTCTCATGAGATGGCCAAAGTATTGGAGCCTCAGTTTCAGGATCTGTCCTTCCAGTGAGCACTCGGGGTTGATTTCATTCAAAATGGATAGGTTTGTTCTCCTTGTAGGCCAGCAGACTCTCAAGAGTCTCCTCCAGCACCACAATTCAAAAGCATCAATTCTTTGGTGGTCAACCTTCTTTATGGTCCAGCTCTCACTTCCGTACATCACTACAGGAAAAACCATAGCTTTGACTATGCAGACCTTTGTCGGCAAGGTGATGTCTCTGCTTTTTAAGATGTTGTCTAGGTTTGTCATCACTTTCCTCCCAAGAAAGTAAAATCTGTCACTGCCTCCATATCTTCCCCTTCTATTTGCCTTGAGGTGATCAGACTAGTGGCCATAACCTTGCTAGCGTGTGAAATGAGTGCAGTTGTACGGTAGTTGGAGCATTCTTTGGCATTGCCTTTCTTTGGGATTGGGAGGTAGACTGATCTTTTCCAATCCTCTGGGCACTGCTGAGTTTTCCAAACTTGCTGGCATATTGAATGTAGCACCTTAACAAGCGTCATCTTTTAAGATTTTAAATAGTTCAACTGGAATGCCATCCCCTCCACTGGCCTTGTTGTTTGCCATGCTTTCTAAGGCCCACTTGACTTCACCCTCCAGGATGCCTGGCTCAAGGTCAGCAATTGCACTACAGTATCTGGGTTGTCCAGGACATCCAGATCTTTCTGGCATAATTCCTCTGTGGTAATGGGTTACCATCCCCCTATCTGTTCTCTCTGGTGTCTGCTAGTGAATGTGTCTCTCCCTTCTCCCCCAGCTAGAATTGGTCTGTAGCTCACACCATGCTGGCCAGGGCTGATGAGTACTGCAATCCAACAGCATCTGCAGGGCCCAGTATGATGTGGTCAGGGGCAGTGAGATAACAAAACAAACAAACAAAATCTATAGGTCATAGTGTCTGAGCTGTAAGCTTATTTGCAACAGACAATTCAACTACAGAGGTGTATGGCGTGTTTTATTTCAAAGGAGCCAGAAGAAACAGACAAAAGTCTGTAATTCTTGACAAACAGCTAATACCATGCCCATTCCTTCAGTCTTTTTAAACATTCACTCATGCTGAGAGCACTCACAATCTCTGCCAGGCCTGCAATTATATATTTGGAGGCTCTCCTGCAGAAGCCTCATGGATATCAACAGGAGCCATAGAAGAGAGATCCCAGCACATGGTATTCATGGCCTTTTCCTCCTGATTCCTGTAAGTTTCTCAAAGTTCTCTGATTTCCCCTTACTATAATTTTGGCTTTGAATGGAGATCAGCTTTTTGCACAAAATCTTCCATGTGGGTGCCGTCACAATATGGAGGGTTCTTGGTGCATTTGCAGCCACACAGCCAAGCTTCTTTTGCTTCCTCTGGCTTGAATCTTAGGGGAGAGATTTCCGGGGCACTTTTTTTATGGGATCCATCACAGAAAGGCTGTTGGGTGAGAAGCAGAACCAAGGCTTCAGTTAAAGAGCAGAACATCAAACAGTATTTAACAGTAGTGTTTTTCAATAACTCCCAACAGATTTCTCACTACAATCTGGAGAAGTTGGAGACATTATTTTTTGGATTAGGACTCCCAGAATCCATGAGACAAGATGGTAACCTATATGGAGGTGACATGTCCCAAATCTGTAGTTCTGACTGTGCTACAATAGAGTATTAGCAGAACAAATGGGATTGCATTTAAATCTGAATGGGTAAATTTCTGATGCAAGGTTAGCAGTCAGCATCATTTCTAGAATGGTGCTACTCCTGAACTGCACTGAGGAACTCTATATGACAGTGGTAGAAAATCTTTAGGCCTCCAAATGTTTCAGACTTATCACTGGTCGTGTTGGAAGGAGCTGATGGGACTTCTCCACCTAAAACATTTAGCAGACTCAAGGATTCTCACCTCTGGTTTATAATCTCCCTGTTCTGACATATAATGCTCTTGCTGGTTGCAAACTAGCCTGCCACAGCATCACTGCTCTCATTCCTGCTCAACCAGATAGTTAGTAGCAGCCCATGGAGTAGAACAACACAGAAAGGAATCTACTCTCAAACTCGTAATAGGGAGCTTTTAAGCAGGGTATATCTCGGGTTAATTTAGTATAGGAAGGCAGACAAAACCTGCATGGATACTGGAGGGTTACCTGCTTTTGACTGTGGCCACAGACACACCAAGCATAACGCTTCCCTGGTTGTAACTCCACTTGGAAAGGGTGTTTGGCTGCAATCACTGGTTGGGTTGAAGAAGGCGAAACAGCCGAGCAGGTTCTTATCTGCAATGGGATTGTCGGGAAGCAAGGCAGGAAAGAGGAAATGAATGTTATTAAGAGATTGAAGCAGCTGGTTTGCTTATGGCCAGGGTTTCTGAATTCAGCATTATGGGGGCTGTTATATGGAGACCTTGGGTGTTTTACCTGTCTTAATGTGCCACAGATCAGAGGTGGAGAAAGTGAGGCCTGGTTATGTTTCAATGTAGACCGCCTAGAGTGGTCGAAATGACTAGATAGGCGGGGTATAAATACAATAAATAAAATAAAAATAATGTTTATGTGGTCTTATAGGTATCTGATGGGAAGAAGTGAGAGAGAAACAAGGATTGTTTGGAAGAGTAGTTCTGACCAGCTGGAAGAAACCAGGAGAGTAGAGTGTGGGTGAGCTCGAGCACTCATGGAGGGTCTACCTCTGTATCCCATAGGTCTTCCAGAAGTCCCTGCCAAAGCTTATGCGGTGGGCATGGGTTGGATCCCATCTCCTGGGCATTAGGACTGAATGCTGTCCTGAAGTACAGAAAATGAAGAGACCCATATGTGAGGGAGGAGAAAAAGTGGGAAAGGAGTGTGCCAGAAGGGTCTCTCACTGAGGAGAGTATATAAGGGAGACTGAGGGGAAGCTGGGACAGTTGGCAGAAAATATGAAGAGGAAAGTGAGACTGAGGACTTGGTGGATGCCCCGGAGTGGAGAGAGGCTGAGCTCGCCCCCCCCCCCCAAATACATTGGTTTTGTGGGGTTCTGACACAATCCTTCTTTAGTGGACTACATTCCAAAATACATCATGGAGATCCACTTTGATGAGGAGAAGGTGCCCCAGAAGACCAAGGCAAAGCTACGGGTCCCTCTAGAAGGCATTCAAAAAATTGACAGGGATAATTTGACCCTGATGGCGAAGTGAAGTCTAGCTAATTCCCGTATCAGCACCCTTGTGTGGAGAATTTGGTGGCAGGGAAGCACTGTAAACAGTTCGCAATAAACATTGTGTTCATTGTTTGGAAACTGACTCAGTGATGGATGACACGGGGGTGTCCTTCATGATCTTCATCCCCTGCCCCCAGAGGGGCATAGCCCTACACAAGCAGTCTGGTGTAGGGAAGATTGGAGAGGAGGTGGTGATTCAGGAAATCTCGGATCTGAGAGGGCAGACAGGGAGGAAGAGGCGACAGACAGAGTGAAGGATTGCGCTTAATGGACTTAAAAGTCTAGGAAGAAACAACATTATTTTAACACTGTTATTTTAAGAAAACCTTATTAGCGCTTTTCAGGCCAAATGGTGCTGAGTTCAATAGCTGAGGACTGGCTATGTATGGGGGTGTTATAAGGGTCTGAGCGAAGGAACAAATACATACACCGAGGAACAGCTAAAAGTTGATGGCAGCAAAAAAGGAAGACAAGAAGGAAGAGAAGATTACTAAAGAAAACATTTATTCTTCTGGTGACACCATTACCTCAATAGTCAAATGACAAGTTAAAGTGAGAGTGGCCATCAGTATCGGAAAGAATAGGTGTGACAGAAAAAGCTTTTTTGGATCACAACTCCCGGGATACTGGCTGAAACGAACTTTTCCCATTTCTGCTTTGGGTCCTCACAATGTTTTAGACCACAATTCTCTTATTTAGTACACTCTTATCGGACTGTACTAAAGTATTTGTGTTACAGATTACAATAAAGACTTTCACTGTGCTGATCATGAAAACCTGTGCATCCTTCGGAAAGAAATGATTGTGACACAACACTGAGTGTCCCTCAATGTAAGCTATATGTTATACAAAAAGATGGATTAGATTCAGATGAAGGAGTGAAAATTAGTAGAAGCAACTTCAGTAATGTAAGATAAGCAGATGATACCATATTACTGGCAGCAATTGTTGGAAAGGGCTAGGAAGGTTAAAGAAGAAAGTGCAAAAGCAAGATTACAGTTGAACAATAAGACACAATGTCCCCCACTGAACATCCTTGAACCATTTTGTTTCACTTATAATCAAGGGCATTAGTGAAACTCGTGTTGGTCTCCGTTATATGCTTTTCAGTGGGTTTAACGGGCACGACTGGATATTTATATACAGCGACCTGGCACAGATGTGGCAGTTAACCTAGTTATGTATGTCTTTTCGGTCGAAGGCAAGTCCCACTGACTTCACTGCAGCTGAAATGGGAGTGAATGCCCAGGGCACCATAATTAATGAAAAGTGCAATGATTTCTGTGCATTCTTCCAAAAGCACACAAAGCAGTATTCGATCGACCCTCGGACTTTCTGCGGAACACCAGTGCGCATTCTCGTATGGGTTCATACGGCACCTGGTGAAGGCAGCCGAGCAGGTGCGAGATCCCTTTGAAAGCGTCTTCGTCGCTTCCTGGGCTTACCTGGGAGAAAACGATCCGGCCCAAGGAGCCCCGTACTGACGACCCGAGAGCCGCGGTTCTCGGCCACCCAAACATGGTTTGCAAATCCCGGCAAGGCTCCGCCCCTTCTCTGGGGGTCACCTTCGCGTCGGCCTCCCGCATCCCGCCCTACAGGAAGTCGTCGGGGTCCTAGAGCCCGCCGTCTTTTGCGACCCGCAGTGGTGGGAGGAAAACCTTTCGGCCGGTTGTCTGGCTGTGGGAAAATGCAGAGCCCAAGGGAATGGGTTGCCAGGGTGTTGTGGACGCGGCAAGAAAGAAGACCAGGGTAGAAAAGGGGGAGGCAGCGCAAGGGGGAAATAAAGGTGCAGGTTGCGAGCGTTGCTTTGGCGTCGTGTAAGGAATGCAGCCCCTCGCCACCTTTCTATTGCATTTTGCAGCTGCAAGAAACGCGGGTCGACGAGCTGGGGGCCGGCGGCGGCCCCACTTCGCCCCACACGAGGGGGTGTGTGTCGAAAAATATTATGAGAAATATTTCAGAGAGTCTGCATCCGGTTTTGGTGTAAAGTGCTTCACATCCATTGAGTTGCCAGAGCCAACGGCCTGTTGACAGCTAATATGACCCTTGAAATTACGCTTTAAAAGGATTCTGGGTAGGATTTGCGTCAACTCTAAAATGCAATGGCTTTAATATAAATATAGTAATTATTTTTGTACAGTGGTACGTAGAGTTAAATTTTGCCTGAGGGATAAAAAAAATGTCGGGCCGGTGAATCAGTCCTGTGTTAATGAATCAGGAACAGGTCTGTTGTATGGTTAAATCGCTCTTATTTGTCTGTTGAAGACCAAAGTGCCTTCAGATACTTGGCACTATAACCGCTTCCTGCCACAGACTACTGTTCCTGGGAAAACCCATTCCAGGACTGCAGAGAAAAAGCGGGAATATTGAGGGTTATATGGGTGGTAATGTTAGTCCCTGCTACTCAGAAGGGCCAAGGGCTTCAACACAGCACAAACTGGCTCCACTCAATCAGGGGGGAGAGGAAGACAATTATTGTCAGGATCTGCCTTTGCGGCTTTCTCTCTCTCCCCACTTTTGGGGGAAAGTCTTTGCTCCCATCAGTTTTTGTTAGCGGAAAGTGCATAGCCTAAAATTATTTTTGCCACACACAATCCAATGCATTTCTGCCTGTCATAACAGCTGAAAAAGTCATGCACGTCAGTGAAGCAAGAGGGGAAGTCATACAAATCCTATCAGCTTTCATCTCAGTATCATGAAAAATCTCTGAACACATACTTTACCACACTTGCTGTCTGAACCACTGCCTTTTCCTGAGAGCATGCAGAAATGACCTAACGACTACAGTACTTCCATGCTGGGAAAAATAGCCCTAACCCAATTTGCCCCAGATCCTTTTATCATTTGTTAATGATATAGGAATTGTACTGGGGGGATAGCAATCCAGTGGCCAAAATTGTGTTGCTTAGTGTACTAAATTGCACTAGAGCCAGTCCAATTAATAAATGGGGATTTAATAGTTCCTCTATGAATTCCACTGATTCTAGTTGTAACTTGTTGTGCTAAAGTCAGTTGCATTTAGAGCAGGACCATTTGAATCAACGGAATTTATGGAGCTGACTCATCTAATCCCCGTTGAATCAATGGGCATATTCTAGTGCAATTTACTACACCAAGCAACAGGATTTTTGCCTCCTAGGTCACAGATTCTCATACTGGTTTGGAAGTTCCATTCAGGCAGTATGCATAAAGATCAAAGAACAAGAAGGCAAATATGTTGGCAGTCCTATATGAATACTTTATCTTCCTCAGTCATAGGCATCCTTCAGTCTCGAGAGACTATGGTAACATGCTCTGTATGGAGGACTTCGACGCTGTATGCGAAGTTGGAGTGTCCTCTCCAGGGCACAAAGCCTGGGTAAAATAATATGGAAGATAGGCTGTTACCCAAGCAGCAAATCCCCCCTCTCCACATTGCTGAAATAGTCCAATGGAAAGGCAAGAGCCAATACAACTGGTTCCAGCGATGTCACAGGAGCTGCCAGAACGACATGTACTGCTTCCCGGACTGGCTCCGAATTTTGCCTCGTGGTTAATTCCTGAAGCCTTTTCCATCAGTGGATATAGCCACAAGGCAGTGGAGGTTTGGAATCAGAGTTCTCCTAGATGGGCTGCCTTCCCAAGCTAATGAGTCCCATCTACCTGGCCTGCTCCCTCACCGCATGGGTGGTGGCGGCGCCTCCTGCTTCTCCTCATGGCATGTGGGTTTGGGATCAGAGCTTTCCTTCTCCTAGATGGACTGCCTTCCCAGGTTAATGAGTCCCACCTACCCAGTATGAAAGTCAGAAAATTTCTGACTGAGGTACGTGACTACCTCAGTCAGAAAGTTTCAAACTGTACACTTCATTCAGAGAGTTCATGGAGAAGTGAAATAACTGCTGAGAGTGTCCGTATTTGGTCCTCTATTCTGTTTCTTTTTAAATTGAGATTTAGGTTAGATTATCAAACTAGTTAATAAAATCCTGATTTATGATCCATCATCTACAAAATAAGGTGCTAATGCATTCAAATTATTTTCCTCTAAAATAACACTTCTTACAGACTCCGTTCTCAATGGTACAGCCATGGCCCATTATTGTGATATGGTGATAGCTTAATGCCATTGCTGAAGATCTTTTAAAAAAATTAAGGGAGCACTGCAGTTTACAGTAATTTTTAAGTGGTTAATGGGGAAAGAAGGTTTGAGAACAACTACCCTAGGTAGTTCATTCCTTGATGCCAAGCTTCCTCTTGAGAGAGATGGGGTCTATTCTTCCTATTTATTAGATATGGTCTCTGATTTCTGGCAGTTATTCCTGCTGAATTGCTGCCTGCCTTTTGCTTTCATGAGAACAGTGTGGTGTAATGGTTGGGGAGATCTGACCATGAAGCCCAGGGAGTGAGCATGGACCAATAGCACTCTCTAAACCTGCCATCCTTCAGGAATGGATAATAAAATGAATGAATGAATGATAATCTCTTTGAAACTTGGAGGTACAGTTAGCAGATGAGCTGTCTACGGGAGGAATTTCTGTTTGCTTCTAATGCATTCTGCTTGTGTATTTGTAAAAGATCAAGGATTGAAGGAGATTCCTTGTCCAAATACAGCAGTGTAATAAAGAGATTTTATTCTGCATTTTATATAATAGGCATGAAGAGAGGGAAGTTGGTGAAGGGGAAGAAAGAATCTGCAGTTGGTCTCTAGGAAATTCCCATGGTTGTTAACTCTACGGTGGATTTTCTCTTAAGAAAAAAAAATGCAGTATGTTTGTAGTTTAACTCAAAATTCCCACAAGAGAAGTGTTTCTGCTACACTGTTTTCAGAGAACTGAAATAGAGTCTCAGAAACTCATATGGCCTAATTTATTTTCCCTGCAATTGAGATTCAAAAAGAAAACAGAACAGTGGAAAGCACCTGCTCCTTTTGTTGCAGTATCATTAACTACTGGCATTCCAGCGGAGTCAGACAAAACATTAATAGAAACCAGATCCCAATTCAAATATTGGCCAACATTTCCACATTTTAAATTTACTTAGCGTTCATAATTGATATTTTGCAAAAGAGCTTATCTCGGCATGATTTGTGTCTTTGCCACCTGTTCTTTGTGCATTTTTGGCATTTGCAGCTTTCCAGTTTTGCAATTTATTTCTACTCTGTTTCCCCGAAAAATAAGACCTAACCTGAAAATAAGCCCTAGTGAAGTAAAACCCTGCCCCACTCTTGTGCAGCAACCAGAAGAAGATGACATGACTGTATTTGAATAAATGTAGATTGTTGTACAAGAAAAATAAAACATCCCCTGAAAATAAGCCTTAATGCGTTTTTTTTTGTTGTTTTTTTTTTGAGCAAACATTAATATAAGATCCTGTCTCATTTTCGGGGAAACACGGTATTACATGACTAAGTGACTACATCGCTTATGTATGCTGTAATCTCAGAAGATCATTTCAGTATGGCTGTCAGTGTCACTATTAACTACCAGAATTTGAAGTTATGATGGCCAAAAGGCAAATATGCCAGCTGTCTTTTTTTAAATAAAAGCATCAGATTTGACTTGTACATTTAGAAAGTGCTTTTGGCCATCTAAGTAGGCTGGATAAAAATCAATGATTAAATAAAATGTTTAATTGAAATTGTCAAAAATCTTGATTTTTATTATTTAAATAATGATTTAAATGAATTTGATTTTAATGGTTATTTAAATCAATTTGAGAACTCAAATTGTTTTGAACCAAATCCACCTAGCATCTAAGAAAGGGCACCAAAATATGCAAATTAAGTGAAGATCTTCAGATCCTAATCGGTGAAGTTGAAGAGATTTATGGGTGACTGATTTAAATCCCATTGATTTCTATAGGTCTGTTTCAAGTACGTCTAAGCTGGATCCAACCTAGTATCTTGGAACGCCATTGTACTGGTTCAGATAAATGCATGTACAGTACATACATCACTTTCTGTTTCACCTCTCGTTAGCTAGCCCTACTCTGTTTATTGTGGCTTTCATTGCATGAAAGTTGACCATCTGAAGAGAGGGAGGCTCTGTTTTGTCCATGTAGGTCCTCCATGAGAGTCAGAACGCCATTTTTAATGTTGGGTGTTTTGTTTTGTGAACTCTAGCTTGCATGAAACACCTGCATAAACATATGAAGTGCCTACAAGCTGTCCCTCGTGTTTTTGTATGATGAAAACTGACGTGGAAAGAATAAGACCACCCTCACCCCCAATTCAGTGTGTGTTGAAGTAACGTTCACCTGTCAATGTAGAGGAGGCGGTGTGGTACAGCACCTAAAGTGTTTGACCAGCCAACCTAAGTTGAAGCCTTCAGCCAATGAAGTATATTTTAATAGGTCCACTTGAGTAAAATCAAAATCCAACCTAATGAATTCAGTATGACTTACTTTAAAAGCACAGAAATGTACTTCCTTTTGTTAACAATGTTTACATTTTTCTTCAGTTAGGAATATTTATATAAGGCTTTCATTTTTTCCCTTCCTGTAGGACTATTTATGTTGTAAATGTCCTTTCCCATCTTAAAGTATTAAAAGAAGGCCAAGATGAATACTTGCCATCTGCTTTCAGAACATAAACACGGTTATTTTTAAAAGGATTGCTTCTATATTG